CATTCAGTTATTTGCGTCATGCGTCATGTCTATCATTCAGTTATTTGCATCATGCNGAAATGTTGCACCCTATTCACATTGTTGCACCATATTTACAATGTTGCACCATGTTCACAATGTTGCACCATATTCACATTGTTGCACCATATTCACATTGTTGCACCATATTCACAATGTTGCACCATTTTCACATTGTTGCACCATATTCACAATGTTGCACCATATACACAATGTTGCACCATATTCACATTGTTGCACCATATTCACATTGTTGCACCATATTCACATTGTTGCGTCATATTCACATTGCTGGACCATAACCACAATGTTGCACTATATTCGCAATGTGGCACCATATTCACAATGTTGCACCCTATTCACATTGTTGCACCATATTCACAATGTTGCACCCTATTCACAATGTTGCACCATATTCACAATATTCACTATTTTGCACAAAGAAGCTAATGGCATTCTGATGCCGAATACTTATCGTTTCCAATCCTGAATAAGCTGTAGAACGTGGGTTGCTACATGTAATCGACCACTAATCACATACTAGAGTTGGAAATTGAAATAATTTTTATTATATCTTAGCCATAAAAAAATTCTCCTCTAACACATTGAGTTTACCAATGTTACTAAAGTAGAACTGAATTCATTGGCACAGAATTAAAAAATCTTGAAAATGTCAATTTCCTAGTATCATAATTTTTACTGTTAATTCATTAAATATTTAATAGGCCTTGTATTGACATTTATAAATGAAATAATTCAATGCCTTTCAATACAAAATATAAAATTTATGCTCAGAGGAAACAGTCAAAAATTCACCATTTTTCATGCGCGAAAACGTTTCGGAGTCCAGCTCCATCGTCAGTTCAAAAACCTAAAACACAAGTGCAAACATTTAGCAGACTAAAATTCACATTGAAAATAATAAAACATAAATTGTCAAATGAATACTCAAATTAAAAATTTTTTGTCTAGGAAATATTCTAAGGTTGTTCCCGAACATACATTAGGACCGCTGTTTATTGTTCATTTCCTTACTTTAGTCCCGCTCGGAGACTATGGCTGGGGAGTTGAAAATTTTGTTATCCAAGTACCTCCCAAATGTAAATCTTCATATATTGCTGGCGAATAATTTAAAAATCGGTTCTTTTTTAGGTATGAATATTCACTCTCCTATGCGATCGTCTCTAATTTATCAATATAGTTGAGCGCAGTTCTCATCTGTGTGTGTCGGTATGACATCACGCAACTTTTATACTAGGCTGGCGGAGCATAAAGGGAGGAGTTTTAGAAACCTGCTTGTGCATTCCCCTCATTTATTAGTGCGCGTTCATGCCGAGCAGTGCGACGTCCCGGTGTCCAATAGTGATTTTAGAGTTTTAACCTCCACAACCTGTGTGTCCCTGTATATTTTTTAATAAAATCCTAGGTAAAATGCCGCCTTCAGTTTATATCCCCTCAAAATTTTAAATGAATAGGTTTGTGTGTTCATTTTAATCCTCATTCTTATTTGTTTTCATTGATAATTTATGTTTTAATATCTTTAATATTTGTACTTGTGTTTTAGTTTTTTGAACTGACGATGGAACTGGACTCTGAAATTTTTTCTCGCATAAGAAAGGGTGATTTTTTTTTGGCTGTTTTCTTTGCTTTAAATTCTTGATAAACTCGCAAGTTTAGCAATCAAGTGATCTTAAAACTAAAAACAATTTAATTCTAAAATCAAATTATCGAGGACGTTGAAAACACGAATTTAGCAAATTCCCTGGCTAAAGAAACGCGGGACTGGTGATGAAGCTGCAGCATCACGCGGCAACGTCTAGACTCTAGTCCTAACTGCAGCGGGGTTGCAGTCATCACAGCCACCTCTTTCACCACAAACTGCTTCATCACCGCAGTCTGCTGCATCTGGACATTTGCATCATCTCCACCCCCGGCACCCTCCAGCCTGCAGCATCACCGCAACCTGGTGCACTACCTTATGACCGTACCTAATGATGAGTTTAGGACTTCTTAGTCCACGGTCACGCTGATGCGCCGCCTTCGTCGTCCTCCGTCTCCTAGTCGTCGCTATAGGCAGGTCACCCCGCCCTCGGGTCCCGGATACAACGTTGGACGTGTTCCGTATATTTGCCCTCCTATGAACTAGCTGATGCAAGATGCTGTTGCTTGTCGCTTGCTGAGGGTAGTTTCCCATTACTGGACAATCCGGGATCTTTATCAACCAATTGTCCAGTCGTCTCTTGAAAGTTGCAAGGGTGAACTCCCCTCCTCTCAGCGCTTTTGGCAAGGCATTAAAGAGCCTCGGTCCTACCACGGACAGTGATCCCTCACGAAGAGTCTGTACTCTGGCCGCGGCTCGGTTATTAAATGGAGGAACCTTGCACAGTCTCCCCCTCCTCTCGTTGTAACGTGTCACTATTCTGGAGGTCTCACATTCAAAGTTGGGAGCCAGTCCGGTTATCATCTTCCAAATTTACAGTATGATATACTTTTCTCTTCTCCTCTCCAGTGAGTACAGTCCCAGGTGTTTCAGCCTTCACCAGTAGTTCAGGTTCAGCTCCCTCATGCCGCTGATCCTGTACGTGAAGGTCCGCTGCACTGTCTCCAGTTTCCGCACCGCAGCCGCCTTGTGCGGCGACCAAAGTTTGCAGCAATACTCAAGATTGGGGAGCACGAGGGCCCTGAAGAGGGCACGCTGCATCCAGCATTTGCATCATCTCCACCCCCAGCACCCTCAGGCCAGCAGCATCACAGCAAACTGCTGCACCTAGACCTTATGTTTCACCACCACCACTCATCCCTCCGGCCTGCAGCATCACAGCAATAACATGACTTCACTTTACGTTCATACATTGCAATGAATTCAGGATTTGAGTAGAATTGCAGTATTCACTCATTGGATCGAAAGCTTTGTATAATTCGGCTTTCTTTTGGCTAATTTTAAATTACTGGACAGTTTTCTCAACGGCGGTGACTCTAAATTGCAATATTCGTTCAGCTCAACATTGAACGTGATTATGGAGTGGCTGTTTCAGTAAAGTAACCAAGTTTTTAAAAATCGAGTCGAGAATCAATCAAGTTCTGGAAAGTCGTGCAGTATTCATCGCAACCACTAATCCAGTAGTAAATCCAACAGTACTTATAAAAAAGGCTTGACGGCATTGTTTAAAAAGTCAAATGAAACAGACTGGCTTCGAGCGATGGTCAAGAAAAATATTTAATAAAATGACAGAGATTTTATTTCATTGTTGATCGTTGTACAAACACATGCGCTAAGCTCTGGACACATCAACAAAAAAATATTAATCATTATTGAAATTTGTAAGACAACTAGCCTAATAAATTCAAGTTCTAGGCTCTTCCCAAGAACTCTTTACCTCAAGGTTTTTTTCAAGTTCATGGCTAGAAGCACCTATATGGTTAAATTTTAACATCAGTTAGCTAAAATTAACGCACGTTTAAGATTTTAGTCTGATCATGTATATTAAAGGGGTGAAGAATATATGTATTCTATTTTCTCGAGATTAGATATTTTCGAGAGAATATCGAGATTAGATATTTTCGCGTCTTTGTAGCTTCGAGAAACTAAATTTTATATGCATTTCCGTTGATGTAGAACATTCGGGCCAATGCAACGGCTTCATCAATGCAATTTCTCGAGGTGTTTAGCCTGCGCGTTATTTCATTCATAGCATAAACGTACAAAAAACGTACAATTTAAATTACGAAGGGATAATCAAGAAAATCAACATTGCTTAAGAAAATTTTCCTCACAAGCACTTAAAAACGCCTACAAATAACGTAAATTTTTAAATTCACCTTATGTTTGTAATTCAGTGAGCTTGATACACGTACAGTGATAGAAAAATATATAAAATATTTCACATTTATTCTGAGGAAGATTGGACATTATTCACGCTGTCTAGAAACCAAGTGATATAATCACGGGATGCATTTGAATGCAGCTAAGAAAGCGCAAATGCAAAATCTCTTTAGATTCTTTTATTAATCTGTTATTTTAATAGTACAAAAAATGACATTTGCATGTAAGCATTTGGCATTTTTACGAACCGCAATGAAATTTTGTATGGTATAACTGTGTCAGAATCCAAATCAAAGATACAAGATATTAGATGAATAGGATATAGAGGATTAACTACGAATGTACATGAAGAGCAAGTCTCTAGCACTGAGCTAAAAACTTGAGCGATACAAAAAATAATCTTAGAATTATACATTTATTAAAACAATAATTAGGCATTTATTTAAACCAAAATTCATAATAACTCTAGCAGATCGGCTTCTCCACAGGAGTGACGATTAAAATACTTTGACAGAGCGACGTTTTAAGTGCTCGGTTGCCGCAAGAATTGTTAGTCGAAATTTGTGTCCTTATTACGATAAACAGACAGACAATCTGGTGTCAATAATCTGGTATTTGGTATCCTTGGTATGTCTGGCCTTAACAATTATAAGGGAATTATAAATGTAAAAAGTGAAACTATATAAAAGTACTGCATGAAATAGTGAATAAAACATGCAAAAACATAACCTAACTATTAAAGTCGTGTTTATAGTTGAAGACGGTGCAAGATTTAACTGGACGCCAAAGATCGCCAACGAAAAAATTTATAAGTGTGACGCTACATGATAAGTTTGACGTGAACGCTTGAAAAAAATAATCAGTGTTACGATACATAATTATCGCGAACGATCGGAAAAATGTTTTAATTTGATGATACATGATTAATTACCACAGCCTACACTGATGGTTCTCGCAATACAGAACCTTCAACTTCTGCATCAGCGGCTATGGTGGTCCCATCCAGAGGAGTTCTCCTCAATTGGAAACTCCGTCCAGAGGTGTTTAACAGAACGCAAACGATAAAAGAAATATAACTCAGTACTCACTGCAGTGAGTGACAGAGAGCGCATTTTCTCGTCGACGAAAACGTGAAGTCACTGACGGACAGACAGACAGACGGACGGACGGACATGGCGAGCACAATAGTGCATTTTTTCCATAAATGGGAAATTGCGCTAACAAGTAAAGTATCAGTGGGGAATGGATCGACAGAAACGTTCTCAGAAAGTTTTTTTTAGTTCCACCGTTCTCCAAATTACCAACCAGCATCAATTATACTTTTGTGTGATGGGATAGAATTGACTGAAGTTTTTTATCAAGTAAAGATAAATAAATGCAAAAATTAATTCTAGCAATTTCCCCAATGATCACGAGTCGGTTGAGACAAGACCAGAAACATGTGGTGTGGAGTGAGTCAAACGAGCTTTAAGCGGTATAATATGTATACAATAGTATTAGTAAAAGTGACACTTGAGTGTAATATGATAAATGCGACGTGCAAGAATGCATATATATGGTATAGCATATAATCATTTAAATTTTACCGGAATAAAACTCGATTTTAATCTCGATGTAACTAAAAAATAAACTTCTGAATTATTTCCCACGATCAGCCGAGTCGAATTTCACATCCAAATCTCAGTTGAGGCAGTCTGCCTGAGGCCTTGGAAAGGCTTCATTAAAACATGAATTACCTTGCGTTCACACAAGATTATTTTTCTGTAATTGGTCTCTTGGATCTCCTGTTTTTGTTTATAGTTACAAACATTTATTTCAACCAGGCATATTGAACTTAAATAATTCATCAACAATATTTAATTCTAGAATAAAGCTTCCTTGTAAAATTAAGTTGCAAAACGTTCCCTTCTCTTCAAATTTATTTGCTTATCCTCCATGTGATGTAATAATAAATTACAATAAAGAAAGGACGGAATCGTATCACAAGCACTGAACTCTCGCCAGGATTTTAGCAACATTTAGGAACCAAATTACTCGACACCTTATATAATTCGTCTAAAATGGTGGAATCAATTGTTGAATGTTTCTTGAAGGACATTAGGAATATTAATATTATTCGAAATTTCTGTGCAGAGAAAACGCTGTGAAATGTTCGAAGTTACTGCGGTGGTGCTCAATTTTGTACACTACATTTGGGTGTAGGCTTAATAATTAACTTCTATTGGCTTCAAAACTGGTGCGAAAATACTGGTAAATATTCATCAACCAAGACGAACATGAAGCTGTCATCAAGCTTGTTAACAGGATAAATATTCCGTAAATCCTGGAAATGGATAGCTTCCAGAAAAAAAATGTAAAAATACATCAGGTTATTTTCAGTGTGAGCTTCACTGCGTGAAGTTGGTGGCGTTGGCGCTGGCCCAGTCAGGGAAGTGGTTCAGGTCGAACATGACCACACCAAGCGTGTTGATCATAAACGTCGCCACCAACACGCAGATCACGTTCATCACGAGCCCCGCCTTCAGCTGCGGCAGTGACATCACGTTTTTATTATCAATTTATAAGTTCGAAAGATATAGCAAAATATAAATGAATAATTGCCTATATTTTTGCCTATGTATATTTTCGTTGTATATTTAACTGAGTTTGTAAACAAATATGTCATGACAGCCTGGACTTGCTGTCCTCAGAGAAAAACGATTTTATTATACATTGAAGTAAATTTTAAATATTATGAGTCATTTCATGCAGTGATGAATTTACTGTCCAAATTTTTGCGTAAATAAAACTTGCAATAATAACAATTTCTCCCAGCGATGTAAATTAGAGCTGTCGTGCGATGCGCGAATGGGAAGCTTCCTTTGCACGCACGACTTGACAGGCTTACAGAACCTAATATAAAGTCTAATAATAATAATAATAATAATATTAATAATAATGATAATAATAATAATAACAGAACCTAATATAGCAGCCGCAAGTCCCAGTCAAGGAGCAGAAATTATGTACTATATAATCTGTCAAAAAACTTGTCTTTTTCCGAATTTGCTAGACAAACCTTGTAAGAGAAATTCATGTTTGAAAACAATCATAATTAATTTCGGAATAGAAAATAATTTAAGAAATCCGCATATACGCTTTATTTTCTAAGCAAGTGGTATTAGAAATTGTACAATAAATTGCAAAAGATTAAATTGATTGTAGGAATTGTATATTAAATTGCTCAACTTCTTTCAGAACTGACACATTTGAAATTAAAAATGGAATGTCCATCCTTCTTAAAATTAAGAAAAAAGTAGTTTAGTGCCACCTAGTTTGTCGAGGAGAAGACAGGAGCCAGTGACCACCGCAGGCTATACTAGCGCGTCATAAATTGCAATTTTCTTATTTCAACTTGAAACATCTTCATGTCCATTAGCATGCTTAATTACTGATTTAAGATTAACCAAATTAATTTACATTCAAATTTCTAAAATCGTGAGATTACTAACCATTTAAACTTGCTCTATGGGCTGATCTTGCTTTATTAACTTTAATATTTAACCATATCTGGCCTTAATGTCGCCTCGTAAGTGGATCTATCATTTAAGGTAATTCATAATTCATGAATTTGTTCTCATATTTCCCAATTTTGAGTATCGTACCGTTTACTCTCATCGTGATCATTTATGCTTCTTTGTCGGCAGCTGTTCAACCGTTTACTTTCGTCTGCCTCAGAACAATCTCAGGCGACGTCTAACATTTCACGTGCCACCAACACGTATACATTGGCGCCTCCATTGATTTTCTGCACGATCGAAGACTAAAACCAAACCGAATCCGTAATTCACGCCTTTCTACCTCGTTTCCAACATAAATGTTTGTGACGTCAAAATTGTTGACCTTATTCAAAATTGTATAAACGTTGGAGCATCCGTTTAAGCTGGAAATTAGTTTTATTACCTAAAGTGAGCAAATGTTTCAAAAAATTGTCAATTGGGGCGCCGGATTACCCATTATTGTCTCCAAACTTTTTCTCTGTCCCGAAACCTTCACAGAGAAATCTTTATTCGAACCATTCACCTTTAATTACCGTAATTATCACTCAATATTAAAGCTGGGTGTCTCACCATGGTAACGGCCTTCATGTTAGCGGCACCGAAGACGATGGCGTTTGGGGGAGTGGCAACTGGCAGCATGAAGGCATAGGAGCAGCTGATGGCAGGTGGCATCATCATATACACGGGGTGCACGTGGATGCTCACGCTCTGTACACAGAACAAGCATCAGCGAATAGCTTAAAACAGGTCAGCGAATACCCCCTAAATGATCGTAACCCCCTTGATGATCGGAACCCCCTCGGTGATCGCAACCCCCTCAGTGATCGTAACCCCCTCGGTGATCGTAACCTCCTCGGTGATCGTAACCCCCTCGGTGATCGTAACCTCCTCGGTGATCGTAACCCCCTCAGTGATCGTAACCCCCTCGTAACCCTCTCGGTGATCGTAACCCCCTCGGTGATCGTAACCCCCTCGGTGATCGTAACCCCCTCGGTGATCGTAACCTACTCGGTGATCGTAACCCCTTCGGTGATCGTAACCTACTCGGTGATCGTAACCCCTTCGGTGATCGTAACCTACTCGATGATCGGAACCCCCTCGGTGATCGTAACATACTCGGTGATCGTAACCCCCCTCGATGATCGTAACCACATATGTGATCGCAACCCCCTCGGTGATAGCAACCCTCTGGGTGATCGTAACCCCTTCGGTGATCGTAACCCCCCTCGGTGATCGTAACCCCCCTCGGTGATCGTAACCACCTCGGTGATCGTAACCCCCCTCGGTGATCGTAACCCCCTATGTGATCGTTACCCCCTCGGTGATCGTAACCCCCCTCGGTGATCGTAACCCCTTCGGTGATCGTAACCCCTTTGGTGATCGTAACCCACTCGTCGTAACCCCTTCGGTGACCGTAACCCCTCTTAGTACCCACAGAGTTTGTACCCCGCTGTACCCACCAGCTCCTTGAGTACAGGCATGAGGATGGAGGCAGTAGCGGTGTTGGACGCAGCTTCAGTGAGCATGGCGGTCACCAGGGTGATGATGAACACGATCGCCTCCTTGGGCATGATGCTCAGAGCTCTCATCTGATCGCCGATCACGCGCGACATGTTCGACTCGTCGGCCGCCTTGGCCATAGCGAACCCGCCCCCCAGCAGCAGCACGATGCCCCACGGCAGCTTGGGTACAACGTAAGGTAAGTGACGCATTAAACAATAATTTAAAATAATCAAGAAGGATAGCGCGGTATTGTTATCATTTTGAAATAAATAATCGATTACAGCGAAATTTGTTGTGCACAATAGGATGGTTGTATAAGATTGTAGATAATTTTTGATGGAGAGAAAAAAGTGGGCTTCGTAATGTTATTCGTTTTCAGATCAATTTTTTTAAGGAAAACTATACCAGGAGCAGTCGGTGTCATATCCGACACGAAAGTTCACGCTAATCGGTTCATACAAACAAACACGTTTATAATGGAGGAAAATTGCAGCAAAAGGTTTATATTGAGCATGATATGTCTGCAGTATGTTGGTTACGGTATAGCACAAACAGTGTCATGTACAGTATATCTATGGTGTTGAAAGAGCTGCGTGTCTGATAGACATCTGCTGTGTGATATCTAGAGTGTGGTTCATACAGAATAATGTATACTGTATGGTGTCCACAGTGTGGTGTGTGGTGTGGTCACCTTGTCCCGCACGGCCTCCCAGGTAAGGCAGCGCTCGTAGCGACGCTCGTCTCCCTCGACGGCCTGACGGTCCACGCCTGGCAGCTCTGCAAGAAAAAACAATCTTAAAAAGTGTAATGTAAAGATTTAATATTTTAATATTTTAGTCCTTGCTGTTTTTTGGTTGATTTTATATCGTGCTATCAATTGTGCTGGTGATTACCTTCTGAAATGAGTATTTTAGGAGCAATTAAATGGCGAATTCTAAACGAAGTTTCAACAACGTAGTGTTCACGTTTGCATGAGCTCACACATTTTAGTAGTATTCTTTCGATATCTTGAGGTGAATTTGCAGGCGACGAGTATTAAAATAACATACAACAGAAATTCTGAATAATTTTTTACTATTCCATTCTTTTATAACATCGTACTTTTACCTGGATCATTCGACATCGATTTCCTAGTGCTAAATACTGCCATCATGTTATTGATCTGCTCCGCCATGTTAGCGCAATCATAAAGATATTAATCATGATTCTGCTTTCAATACATTAATAGCTTTAAACTGTTAGGGAATAACTGATCATAAAATAAAAAGCTTTGTAAGCCGGTTGATTCATTACCTCAAGGCTGAGTATTGACGGAAATAAGTTGTTATTGCTAAGCAGGAAGCAGCGAGTGAAAGTTTAATGCTCCATCTGCGCTGCATCAAGAAATGAAAGTAAAACGGAAAGTATTTAGCACTCAGCAGTGAAAGATCCCAGCACTTATCCCAATAAACGTTATCAATACTGAAGGATTGATCCCAAAATCAACACTGAGGGATTTATACAGAGAGTTTTTTCCGGCGTGGAAATTTTAGTTTACTTTTAACTAAAAGATTTCTATTACTGTGAGAAATTTAAAGGTATCTGTCATTTTAAAACTGTAATGAGCCGTAATTGATATACATTGTTCGAAAAGTTAGTTTGCAATTTTTTGGAAGAAGCTAAGCTGATTAGCTGACGCAGTTACGGAACCTCTATTTTCTTTCAAATAAAAAACTGAAACACAGTCAGGTTTTTAGTATAGTTACGATATTGTAAATCCAGCGGTCAATGAGCTAATAGCAGCAGAAGAGTGATAGAAATAAATCATCCTCGACGTGAAATCGGACAACATACTCGTATTAGCCGCTCAACTTTATAATTTATTTTAGATATCTATTCATTGATGCGAGCCCTGAAGATGACTGTGGCCCTACCACGATCTCTGATCCTCAATGATTGTGGCCCTACCACGATCTCTGATCCACAATGATTGTGGCCCTACCACGATCTCTGATCCACAATGATTGTGGCCCTACCACGATCTCTGATCCACAATGATTGTGACCCTACCACGATCTCTGATCCACAATGATTGTGACCCTACCACGATCTCTGATCCACAATGATTGTGGTCCTACCACGATCTCTGATCCACAATGATTGTGACCCTACCACGATCTCTGATCTACAATCATCAGTGAATAAAAAAACTGCAGGCGACAACATGGCGATCTTCGACGGACATGTGGGTAATCATTGCGAATTTATCAGAATTAAGGCTGTGAAAAGGCTTGAATAAAGGCTTAAATTAAGTAATAAAACAATTGATTTTCTCTGAATTAAGGCTACTCATTGAATAACGTTTAATTTGCAATTTTTTGTTTATATATTAGTCATTACTCAACGAATTACCTAAATATAGTGAAGATGACGTCACTCACCATCCGGCAGCTGGCGGTTGGTGCTCCGCCACCATGGCTTGCGCGGGATGATGAAGAGCAGCAGCACAATCATCATCACTGGCGTCGCATCGTCAATTTCACTATAATAAATTTAGAGTCAAATTCTTTATCATTCTAGCTTCTACTCGTGACCTCAATGTTAAGGGATTAAAATCAATGATATGGCTGATACTTAGTTGAAAGATAGTTTCCTTTGTGGAGATAATTTAATTTGCAAATAATTACAGAATCAACTATTCATCGAAGCAACGACCCAAATTTAGTCCATTAATTACAACATTGTCTAAGCATTAATCCTTTCAGGTATTTTCTATGATTTTTTGATATGCCGGACAGGATAATAAAAGCCTCCAAGTAATGCAAAACAGCAAGAAATTAAAAACTATCAGTGAAATGTCCGGTCAATTTCAACATTCACCAGAAATAATTCTATTAATTATGTCGATAATGACTTGTCGGAAGAAGTGGTGATTATGAGTGGTGGGGTAGAGTGGTGGTGCGTTCATTATGAGTGGTGGGGAAGAGTGGTGGTGCGTTCATTATGAGTGAATGACAATACTAATAATAATTCCTTTAACTCGATCAATAAATGAGAAATTCTTCCCCTCACATGCCGGGGAAGAACCTCTCGAAGAGGTCGCCCCAGCCTGTCATGAAGCCCGGGGCCCTGAAGAGCCACAGCAGCACCAGCGATATGAAGAGCGTCAAGACGACCGCCTCGTGGAAGTTGACGCGGCCCAGAGCGCGGTACTTCTTCTTCAGCATGGACTTGACCTCAGCCTCTCGGTCTTTGTTGCTCAGCAACACTTCTCGCCTGAGGGGTAACTGAACTGTATTTACGGAGATCTTTCGTATATTTTCAGCATGGACTTGACCTCGGCCTCTCGGTCATTGTTGCTCAGCAACACTTCTCGCCTGAGGGGTAACTGAACTGTATTTACTGAGATCTTTCGTACATTTTCAGCATGGACTTAACTTCGGCCTCTCGGTCTTTATTGCTCAGCAACACTTCTCGCCTGAGGGGTGAGTAATTTACTGAGATCTTTCGTATATTCTCTATCCTTCTCATTCAGCAAGCCATGAAATATCTGATCAAATTTTTAATTACGAACGATAATGACTTAGGTTTGTGCTAGCTTCCTTGTTAATTCTAAACTTAGGGCCAATGTGAGCATGTGTTTTAGAAAACACTTGTTGGTATCAATAAAAAGGCCACTTTGTGCTAACAAACGGCTTTATAAAGGCTCGATCGGCTTCTTTATCTGAAGCATGAAAAAAAGCCATGACTCGTATTCTACATCATGAAAAAAGCACCCATTGCCTCACCTGCAGCCCAGAAAGAGAATGTGCAGCCATATCCAGGCACAAGCTCCGCACAGCAGCATGCCGGGCACGTTGTAGGCCAGCCAGGTCGCGAAATTGACAACGTTGGTGCCAGGGAAACTCCTGATAAAAGCAATATCATTTCAACATTATTCATTGCAATTAACTCTAGAATAAAGTACATTAAAAAATTAAAGCAAAATAAATTTTAATCTATGATATATTTTACCTGCTCTTACGGAGCAGTGAAAAATTTCACTCACGAAATTTAATTTATCATCAGACAGAAGTTTATTTATTACATTTGTATCACAGATACCCACTTGCTTTGGACCCATAAACACACATGTTTCGGCCACATAGCCAACAAGCCTCGGCCCCATAACCCACCTGTATCGGCGTTACAACCACCTGTATATCTCCCATAACCCACCTGTCTATGTCCCATAACCCACCTGTCTATGTCCCATAACCCACCTGTCTATGTCCCATAACCCACCTGTCCATGTCCCATAACCCTCCTGTCCAAATCCCACAACCCACCTGTCCATGTACCATAACCCACCTGTCTATGATCCATAACCCACCTGTCCATGTCCCATAACCCTCCTGTCCAAGTCCCACAACCCACCTGTCCATGTACCATAACCCACCTGTCTCTGTCCCATAACCACCTGTCTCTGTCCCACAACCCACCTGTCCATGTCCCATAACCCACCTGTCCATGTCCCATAACCCACCTGTCTGTCCCATAACCACCTGTCTCTGTCCCACAACCCACCTGTCTCTGTCCCAAAACCCACCTGTCTCTGTCCCATAACCCACCTGTCTCTGTCCCTTAACCCACCTGTCTCTGTCCCACAACCCACCTGTCTCTGTCCCTTAACCCACCTGTCTCTGTCCCACAACCCACCTGTCTCTGTCCCACAACCCACCTGTCCATGACAGATTTGAGCACCAGGTTGGGCCCGGTCCCGGTGATGGCCCCCGTGCCCCCCAGGTTAGCAGAGTAAGCGGTCGCCAGGTAGCACATGTCCCGCAGACGCGCGCAGAGCTCGTCGGGCGGCGGGGCGAACAGGACGGTCTCGTCGGACGTGTCGTCCTGCACGTCGTCGGCGGGACGCTTGGCCACGTCCTCGTACGTCGTCGACGAGGACTTCGACGACACGGAGTAGCTGCTGCCGTTGCCATATTTCTCGGACTGGGCGCTGAACGAACACAGAGTTAATTTCAGTCGGATAAAGTAGAGCGTTGAAGACTGGGGATTAAATGTGATTTTAGAATTTTAAAATACATATTTACCGATATACATTTTCTTGCATTGGGCGCTGCATAAACAGAGGCGTACTTTCATACGAAATGAAAATAACACGTGAAAAAGAATAGGGATTATGTTTAATAAACAGTATGAAATCAAGTATTTAGTGCGATCTTTCCGTCTCGGACTGTGCGCTGATATTTTTCTTGCACTGTGCGCTGTACGAACACAGGCTTAATTTTATCCGAAAGTAAAATAATGCGTAAAAGACTAAAGATTGTATTTCATTTTACAATATTAGATTAAAAATTTGCCCGGATATTTTGTTCTTGGATTGGGCACTGCACGAACACAGGCTTAATTTCATCCTAAAGTGAAATTACGCGCCAGGGATTGTATGTAAATAAAAAATATTACGTTAGTAAAATAAATAGAATTTCATTATATAATAGAATGTAATTAAATGAAAGCTGTACTCGTAAACTGCATTTAATAACACAAATTAATTGATTTTGCCATAGGTGCTAAAAGGATATCATTAATTTTTTTCGGTGGAAATGTATCCTGCCAACGCAGATGCATCCCTGCATTTAAAATGTACAGTTATGACGATTAATTACTGCATGTGTCTGTATATACAGCAATAATAATATTATTATTAATTATTTACAGCAATACTGTTGGAGTGTTCTGGTATGTCGATTAATCTAATATCTGGCTGTAAAATCGATGATAGCTTCATTGCTGAAGTTTAAATGGATGACAATCAATTCGTGCCCAATAAATCGCTTATAACATTGTAACTGTGGCGAAAGCGCAATGAATATATTGAATAAACTTCTATACGTATCAATAATTTGCAATTAGTATACATGTACTGGCCTTTTCTATAAGTGAATAAATACAATGTTGTATATAATAATTGAATATCTATAAACATTAATGAACTTGTAGAGGGTTGACTCACTATGAGGGTTGACTCACTATGAGGGTTGACTCACTATGAGGGTTGACTCACTGTAAGGGTTGACTAACTATGAGGGTTGACTCACTATAAGTGTAGACTCACTATTACTATGAGGGTTGACTCACTATGAGGGTTGACTCACTATGAGGGTTGACTAACTATGAGGGTTGACTCACTATGATGGTTGACTCACTATGAGAGCTGTGAAGGGTCTGAGCCCGCGATAGGGTCCCTGCTCTGCTTGTGAGGGCTGATGCGAGGGTCTTCTTCGGTCTGCCGGGCTGCTGTCCCGATTTTTCGGGTCTGAAACATTTATTACCAACGGTAAATTATATTATGGATTATTGAAAGTTATTGATTGTTTTTGAAGCTAATTATCATAAAAATCTGTAATTTTAAGCAAACGTCATTATATATTAAGAAGAAAAAATGTCGTCATGATTCTGAAATTCCTACTTTAGTCAGAGGAAGACTTTATTTAATTATAAATTATATTATTATATTATAAATTTTATTATTTATAATTAATTCTGACTTTAGTTATATTATACTGTATAGAACGTAATTTGAAGGCGAATCAATTAATAACTTGAGTACTGAAAGCTATTGGAAGTTAGAGTGAAGGTGTTGAGAAGAATATTGGAATGCGGGCAAAAACGGTGCAAAGGTTGCATAAGACGCGATTGTTCTCGTGACCTCGTGACCGTGAGACACAGGTTTTTCTTGCATTTTTGTAACGGCCGAGGATAGCGAAAGTGCTGATTTTTGTGGAACTCGAAACTGTCGAGGCGTCCCTTGCTAGGCTTATGTGTGCGTGAAGTCTGCCTATCTAAGGACCCCCCCCATAAAAAAATTTGGTTATTCTATTTTGGTGACGGTCACGCCAGTACGGTCTGCAGCCATCTCCGCAGACGTAGGTGAAGGCCCCGGCCGTCGGCCGGCGGCTCGAGATATAACGGCCGCGTGAAAATTTGAGTCATACATACCACTAGGACATACCGAGGATATAACCTCGACAAAAATATATGAGTAACGGCCATGATATTGCCACATTTGTACGGTCAACATCATTGTTACGGTTGTTATTTAGCCGTGAGATGACACGAGAAACAGCAAGACGTGCAACGATTATAACGCCGGCAATTAAAAGATTCAAGTTTTCAAGCACCGAGCAAAAATTATCATCGGTACGGTTAACTCGATACGGTCACAGTCATCATCGGTAACTGTACGGTCACGATCACCAACAGCAAAAGCACGGCAATTAATGAGCTTAGAGTAGCATTATCGACGAGGAAGACTTCACCACTATTCTGCAGAAGTACGGTCGATATAGACAATCTACGGCCAGACTGAGCGTGAGACATCTATAGTATATCAGCGAGACATGCATGACGGCTATGGAGAAAAAACGCCCACTGGCTGCAGCGGGGATGCGCGGCTACGGCTACGGTACGGCCGCTGATAAATACGGCCGCAAACGTGCGCGTGAATTACGGTCGTTTATGACAGTCGTACTACACGCAACGGAACTGCGACAGATCAACGTTTCTAATAATTTGGAAGCTTGAGTGATGTAAACTGATAGATTTTCAGTTTTAGTTGTGTTAGGACTACCCTTTTGTTGTACTAGAGATTTTTGTTAATTCACCAATTTGATATTAAATGTACCAGTGTTTAATTGTAAACTTCTCTCTGGGCGGTTTTTGTAGTAACCTATTTCATACGAGAACTTATATGCGCGAATGCTCCGAGTAAAGCCTATAAGACGCTATGCGGTCGCAACCTGACGAAATTGAAGCAGTTGATAATCAATAATAACATTGTAGAATAGAATAGAAATGTCGGCACTGAAGAAATAGACCCATGGCCTGTTGCCGATTCTTGAACTTTTCGTGACTTGATTCACAAGGGATCCGGCCTTTGGAACCCGATCTTTCCATAACTGACGATTGATTGAGATAGCTGCTGGACTTATTGCCTGGTCCGTAATTTGCTAGGCATTTTAAGACTGAACATATGCTCCTGCATAGCTTCGTCTGGTCTGTTTTTGAAGATGTTCATACTCGGAGCGTCAATGATGCTAACAATGAAACCAACCTTATATCTTAAGAAGCACACACTAATTAGTTGAAATTAGGTAAATATTTTTTACTTCCTAAGGTTTGTTAAGTTGTGCTCAAAAACATCACAATCACTCAGCTATGGATATGTCAGCCATGAGCTTCCATCAGTCAAATCAACAATCAGCAGAAATCAGACATGACAATCTATCAATTGAGCAGCAATGCGCCATGCGCATCTATCAGTTGAAGCAGCAATCAGCCATGAGCATCTATCAGTTAAGGCAGCAATCAGCCATGAGCATCTATCAGTTTGCATCTATCAGTTGAGGCAGCAGTCAGCCATGAGCATCTATCAGTTGAGGCAGCTATCAGCCATGAGTATCTATCAGTTGATGCAGCAATCAGCCATGGTCATGGCTCAGTCAAAACATGCAGCAGAGAATGCTCGTCTCGATGCGTTTCCGCGCAGGCAGGCAGGGAGTCCCCGCCGGGATTATAGCCTTCCCGGCGACCTTCCGGCCAACATATAAAGAGCTTAAAAGATGTCTTGTCTAGTGAATATAAAATTTTACGCTAAAGAATGCGCCATTTATTCTTTAAAGAAAGTGGTGTTTATTCTCTATAGCTTGCAGAATGCATTCTATAAAGAAGGCATGCAGAATGCATCCTCTAAAGAAGGCATGCAGAATGCATCCTCTAAAGAAGGCATGCAGAATGCATCCTCTAAAGAAGGCATGCAGAATGCATCCTCTAAAGAAGGCATGTAGAAGGCATCCTCCAAAGAAGGCATGCAGAATGCATTCTCTAAAGAAGACGAAGAAGAGATAGGGTTGAATATATTCGCAAGAATATATCTTCTATGCATGGAGGCTGCAGAATATTCATTATCTCAGCATACCCGGTGGCAGGTGTAAGTTTTTATTGCATTCTCGTACGAGAATTGAGTGACCTTTACCTCGATAATAATAGGTGTACACTGAACAACTTTCCTGGACCAACTGCATGCATTGCCATGGTGCAAGCAGTACAATTTCTCGTTTAGCATGAGCTGAAAACTATACATTGTATATTCTTTTTACTTTGTAAATGCGTCTTACGTCTTTTAGGCATCATTACAAAGTGGCAAAGACAGTCAAGAAAATGAGAAGTTCAATGCAAATGAAAAGAGAAATCGAATTTTTCCATCAATAAAGAAAAATTTCAATTTTCGTATCTTGTTAACGTTGTTCATTTGAAATATCAACATATCTATACGAATCATTAATCATGAATGAATATATGATATTTTATATGCGTATATAATCAAATAGAGATTAAAAAAGTATTTTTTGCTTGCATTCAACTTGAATAACGTGCTCATAAGAGCTGACATTGTTATCATAATCTATTTGCATAATATCATGCAGGTAAATCAAAACGCAATCTCTGCAGGTCGCGAATCGAATAATTTAACCGACCATGCATTCTTTCTTGCACTATCCAGAATACAAAACATTAGTTATCAGGTACACTCAAATAAGACTTGCAGCAATAATTTTCTTAGAAACCCAGGCGGCAATTCTCGGTATGGGAACGTTCCCCGAAAGCCGGTAAAATCCGGTATAAATTAACGGCTAGCGAACTGCACAAAACTTTCCGCATGACCCGACCACGATTTCTCGGTAACTCCGAACTCTGGACGTGAACAAAGGCTCTGAAATTTTTCCTTGTATTGAACGAAACGATAGAACTGGCAATATTTTCTTTTAATTGAATTGAAAAAATATACATTTTATCATGAGGGCATTTAGCAGTTCGCGTAACTGATGATAAACGATTTTTATCAGTCATATTCTGCGTTATATACCAGGTATGGCTCGTTATGCGATGCCTGAAAGCACATGAATATAAGTAGATTGAACTTCATATATCAAAATATTTCTGAAAGCATGATCAACAACATAATTTATGAAAAGATTATTATTCTATGAATGATAGTCTACAGCCACAGAACACATTTAACCATGCATCATTCGAACTACCTGTAGACAGGAAATGCATGAAAGACTATATACAGCGTGGAAAACACATCTGAATAACCATAAAAAATATAATACAATGCGCGTTTTCGTACAGAAATGGCTCTTATTAGCGCATTTTCTCATTTATGGAAAAAATGCACTATTGTGCTCGCCATGTCCGTCTGTCTGTCTGTCCGTCCGTCCGTGATCTCAAGTTTTCGTCGACGAGAAAATGCGCTCTCTGTCACTCACTGCAGTGAGTACTGAGTTATATTATTATTGTTATAGGTTCACCCTATGGCCCCACATAAATGAGTTCTGAAACTTTCACATACGAGCCGGAAATGATATGTTTTTCTTGTAATTGTAAGGTCATCTGAGCGCAAAATAAACAACATAGTTTACAAGACAAGAAACTACAGTATTAAGTTGATGTCAGTGCATGTGTCGGGGACACAATAGTATGGAACTCACTTAAAGTGGCATCATGTATCAACTTAACGCAGGACAAAGGAAAAATTCAGTTTATAAACAGCAAATAGAGGTCAACATTTTCGCAAAGGATGCAGGAGTTGTCAATGTCACGCCTGAAGATAATCTGGAGATGAGCCTTGTACTTGCATGGGCACGTCGAGGTCGTTTGCTAATTATTGGTCTGTAATCTGCTGCAGTTTTCAGCACTGCATTGTCATGTATAGTGTCGTTTTACTGTTATTCTTTAAGCTATTCAACCTAAATTTCAATAGCTCAAATAATGAAGTGCGTATTTCCGACTTCAGATGACTGACTCACGATTTTTTTGATATATAGTAATTTTATTCATAAATGTATAGAAGATAAATTTATGCACTAAATGTAACATCTCGCAATCATTAATTCCGCGTCCAACTAACCGAACGAAACAGGGAAAAACATGAAATTTTAGCGAAAGGGACTTGGAAATCCTCGCTCGTCTACTTTTATTTTGATTTGTCAAAAAGAATAAGCAACCTAAAGCTCCTAAATAACGAATATATATAACGATGCTCAACATCTTTCCACTAGAATCAAAATCAAATGAATTCCAGAATTAAACTCTCGATTGACCGTCATCATTTGTTCTATGAATTGCTAGCCGACACTGTTAGAAAAATTACCGTTAACTGTATTACCGGCGTTTCAGCTAGTGGCCGGTCGGCACGTGGAAAGAAACACCGTGTCTCGGTTTTTATTTTAATATAACACTATAAATCCGTAAAACATCTGCTAAAAACGGTGAACAGACCATTTTCACGGGGCGACCGGCCACTAGATTGCCAGTGGGACCGTTTTTTTCGCCGTTTTTTCTAACAGTCGACGATAGGAACGCACGAAACCCCGTACTTTGATTTGACCCACACCGCGTCACGGATCGGAAGACTGCATCACGACGCATGCGTATACATTGCTTCTGTTCGGACGGACGTTTTACAAATGAAGCTTATTGGGGCCGCAGCTGGCGTGGCCTCTTTCTGCTATTGAAATGCTGCTGCTAGTTATACAGCTTTTGACTTGCTACTGCAACTCATCTCTTCCTGCTAATAAAATATCGTTGTTCTGGAATATGTCTGTTCTGTTTTTGATGCAGTGGTATTGTTCAAAAAGTGTAGCAAAATTTGCGGGATCATTTTTTTGCATGCTTTTTCATTTTGTCTTAGGTTTTTTATATCCTGGATATAAGGTTTTGTACAGACAAGTAATTTTGAATCACACTTCAAAACTTCTCAATTATTCAAATATAATTTCAATTGTTATCAATTAATTCTAGAATACTGCTCCCTAATTCGACTGTTACGCTTGAAATGAGTTACTCTCGCGATTGTGTTATTGTTGCCTCGTGGTGCATCACCATGCAGGCATCTGACGTCGAACGTCGATCAACGTGATATCAACGTTGTTTCAACGTCATATGCCTGGTAGGGCAGGGACGCATGGAGACTTCCGAAGTCAAAATTCGTATATCCTGATTAGTCGCATTGCTAATTGTTTTCTGCCTTGCCTGCTAATTCAGTTCTACAGCCATCCGTATCATTAGTCATATTTTACAGCAGCGCACTGGCGTGATTGTTATCAGTGGAAGAAAAATTGATAGTCAATGTAAAATAATCCGATTTTGCGCATGTCGCATTGATCAGCAGCACAAAAATAATAATCAAAAAAGTAAGTACCCGAATATTTTAATTTTGTTAATTTTTACTCACTTTGTAGAGCTCTTGCAAGATGGCGTCGACGATGGGCACCATCATGGCGGTGGTGGCGGTGTTGGAGATCCACATGGACAAGAACATCGTGGTCACCATGAAGCCTGTCATCAGACGCCTGGGACTCTGACCTGTGAGAGTAACGAAACTTCCTCTGACTTGTACAAGTGAAGAAATTCTCTGACCTGTGAAAGTAACGAAACTTCCTCTGACTTGTACAATTAAAGAAATTCTCTGACCAGTGAAAGTAACGAAACTTCCTCTGACTTGTACAATTAAAGAAATTCTCTGACCTGTGAAAGTAACGAAACTTCCTCTGACTTATACAATTAAAGAAATTCTCTGACCTGTGAGAGTAACGAAACTTCCTCTGACTTGTACAATTAAAGAAATTCTCTGACCAGTGAAAGTAACGAAACTTCCTCTGACTTGTACAAGTAAAGAAATTCTCTGATTTATGCAAGTAACGAAACGTTCCACTGACCTGAGCAAGTAACGAAACGTTCATAATTTCCTGTGCACGAGAGGTGCTTCAGGCATAAAGATTGCAGTCAGTGGACAATCTAAAGGTTAAAAACTACAAAATAATTTATTTGCCCAGCTCACGCAATAGTTGCGTTTTTATAATTTATAAATGGCGCCAATAGTGCAATAGACGCTTGATCATAATTTACATTAATATGCTAGATTTTACAACAAAAAATTTCAAATTTTAACTTCTAGCTGATTTCAGTTTAAGTATCTTTGATGAGCCGAGGAAAATGTCATCTGTAAAATGCAATGCTCAAAATACAGTAAAAAAAGGATCCGATAAATTTTCCAGGTATGATTTCCAGCGCCAGTGTTTCATAAAGAAAAACCAGGCATATAAAATTACTGTACTGCTGCGTAAATTTCGCAGCCAAAAACAGGAACTTGCAGGCTCCCAAATTTACATTTGTATTCATGGAGCAGTGCCTTAATAAGAAATGCTTGCTCGATACTATCTTTTTACTTATCTTTTCCCAGTGTAATATTGATTCAAATTAGTTTCCTGTCCGTATTTTAAAACGGATAGTGGCTAGCAAGTAGCCCGGACTCGCGTTGTTCTAACATATAAAGTTTTTATTTTAGACACACACTCTCTTCATCAACAGTTGCTGCATGACAATTAATCTCAAGAAAATATCTGGCACTAGATTCTGGAGGACATGACGCCTAGCCATTATATTCCATGCCTGTTGAGCAGCAAGATCACGCAAAGGTTTGTTTTATACTATGAAAGTAACTTGAAAGGAATTCTATTTGGTACTTGATTTAAACATTAAAATATTCTCTAAAACTCTGTAATGTCTGGAAGTAACGTCAGTAGTTTTTGGTTAAATTTAAACAAAAATTTCCCTCCCCGCTGTCATCTAACGAAATCAACTTGTCTTTAACGTTGTTTCACGCCTGAAGAATGCTAACCTAAAATAACAAAATTAAGTCTGTATATATGAGTAATCTATTGGTTCATCCGTGGAAATTAGAATTTAGAATAAGTTTATTTACACATTGAGTTTATTACGAGGAATATGATCCATGGGTAACAGTTATAACAGTCAGTTCGGTGTCAACAAACCACTCACCCACACGTAGGATGACGAAGAGCGCAACTCTTTTGTGAAGGTTGCAGTGCTCCACAGCAATGGCGACCGTCAGGCCACCTAGGAACATCATGTTCGTCTCCTGAAATAAACATGAACAACAATAAGGTAATTAATAAACAAAGCTGCAGCCATCAAACGTGGAGGGAAAGGCATGCGCTTTAATAAGGCAGTAGTGGTGTAGGGGATACAGAGTGGGGGAGAGGGAGGATGAACATAAACATGTTCATGAGATGTAGACGGGTAAAGGAGTTTTTTACATGATGTAGGTACTGGAACCTGAAAGCAATCATTCGTCGAGCACCTGTGCACGATGAGTTCTTCTGTGATGAGCGTACGTGCAAGAGGCTTATTTATGTAACATGAATATTGAGCATCATTAATAGCGCACAAAATAATTAAGAAAAGATACAAATGTTTTAGCCCAGGATTAATTAGTTTTGGTTTGAGTATTTATTTGTATATTGTATAAAAATTTATGACACAGGTTATTAATTTATATTTTTTATTCATCAAAATATATATGATAATATCTAGATTACTTGAAAATTCCTGAATGCAAATTGAATTTGATAGAATTCAAAGTTCATTCAAGGGCAAGAGACATTCAAGGCCAGACTGCTGCATCCAAGGCCAAACTTTATCGTTAAAAAAATGAATGCCTAGCCCTAGCCCAACTGAAATGCAATGCCTGTCTTTCAGCATCCGTTTTTGCACTCTAGTCAGCAACACTGTGAGCCTCGGTGACGTTTTTAAGATCTCAAATAACAGTATTATCTGTATCTTTATTAATAGCAGTATTATCTGTACTTAAGTATGGTTTAGAGAGTAAGTTTGTGGATCTGTTCATACAAGTGTCACTCCACCTGTCTGTCGTTCAAGTGCAGCTATAGTCTCACTGCATGCGCTTGCAATATCGCCGCAATATCGGCGGCCAACCACCAGCCGGTGGGGGGGGGGGTTCATCAATCAACACTCAACACCTACTACTATACTTTCATCAGCGGTTTTTGAAAATACTTTGAAAAACTTGCAAGGTGAATATTATTTTGAGGACTATTAGAATATTTCTTATTTACTCATATGGCAGAATTTGTCAACCCTTCTTATAGCGTCACGTTTGATGTAAATTCTTATTAGTCCTCGATCAGGTATAATTTATTGTTGATAATTGTAACGTTATCGGGATGATGGTGAACCACCTGATATTCAAGTAATTTTAACCTGCTTAATCATCTGTATCAACAGGACTCACGACTAATCAATACAGACGAGCTTCTTTTATATTCCAAAGTAATTAATTATCGATGATAATCAAACGCAAACTATAATTGCGAAAAGAGTTTATGAATATAGTGTACGATCAGTTAGTGAGATAGTTAAAGGTATGCTGATGAAATAATGACCTATCTCACCTTAATTCAACGTATATTTAGTGAAATATATTTTTAATCATAGAATTTATTCATCATTTTCATTCAAATGACGTTTGCTTCAGTCTAATCCTTGATTCATTCTTACTGTAAAAGACAATTTCGAACTTAATCATTTAATTTTATCGTTAACAGACTAACGTTTTGCGTTGGACCTTGATTTAGCCAAAAAGTATTCTACATCATTTGCCAATGTCCGACCAATTACGAATATTAATTGGTGTAACACGCGTCAAAGAAACTAATTTCGGAATGTTATAATGTCAATTATTATTAAGCACTTGTGTGCTCTATAGAAAGCTATTAGCAAAGATTATATTAGTTTATAAATTATTCTAGTCATGTCTTATATGAATTATTCTAGTCTAATTCATATTTTAAAGCACGTAATTCAGGGGCAGGATTGTAGAAAATCGTTGTGATAGACTTAAGGTGCGATGTAAATAGGACTATTTTTGTAGGCTAATCCTTTTTGAACGTTTGCTAATCTATTCATCATGGCAGGATAAGAAACGAATATTCAATGACGTACGGTTTCTAGAAAAAAAAGTACAAGAAAATTTCTAAGAAAAATATTCAAGGAATAATTTACGATATATACATGAAATGATAATGCATGAACCAAGACAAATCAAAAACAATGAAACGGGATATTCAATAATTTAAGTGATCAAATAAATCTAACTTCTAACTAACCGAATAGCTTGGTTCCTTGGGTACTACATGGCATTTAGGGTTAAACAATGAATGCTATAGCACATGAGAAATGAACTGCGTCTAGTATGAGCTAATTTTATTGTTGCAAATTCCAGTGAACATGGAAAATGGCGGCTACATGCGTATATTAAGAACACGTGGGAAGAAACTGGGGTATCAAAATATGAAGACAAAGTTTATGCGCACGTAGAAATCCACATCGGAGACTAATCACGCAAGCGAAGAAATAGATTATAATATCATTACATATGGGTCGGTATTTAAAAAATTATTATTATTTTAATTATGGGTCGGTAAACGAATTTTTTCAAAGAAGGGAAATATGTTATACATGAGAGGTAGCAAACCAGAAGCTTGCGTAGTCAAAAATCATGAAGAGCATGAGATTGTAAAAGCTGGTTGAATTTAAGCATTTTTCTCTCAATATAAATAATCATTATATCTATTATCATTAAAAATCCATTTTGCAAATAAATATTTGAATATTATTTCGTTCATCATGATATATAGGTACTTGCATTTTTGCTAACGGATTTTCCTTTAAATGAAAAAAATTAATTGTATTTTGTGTTGTTATATTTATGAATAATAATCTAGCATTATTTTTCTCGAACTATTTTCGAATTTTCCTGTTTCTGTACAACTATTCCACTCTTATAAAAAAACTTGATAGAAAACATTTTCCTAAATAAATAATTTTTAACGGAATTGCACCAAACCCTGCCATTAGGATTATGATAAGCTTTGACTTATATAAGGACTCATCTCAAATCACACGTTTTTATCATTTTCATACCTAGAAAAATATTAATTGAAAACTAGTCTGTTAAGCACATATAGGTACTCGGACGGGTATCAACAAGACAAGCCTACTATGTGTTAAACGCAACAGATTTGTACCCATACAATCACAAAGTATATCTTTTATTGTCTTGGGATTTCTGGTGTGATAAACCGAGTAATCACATCATATGCCCTTGAAAATTCAGGATGCAAACATATTCAAAGGAAGACAATTTCACGGCGTGCTGGAATTGGTGAAGCACAGCGAAGTTAAACACGACTTTAACAGTTCCGTGTTGTTGTTATCTTTCAGAAATCATGCGAGGCCCTTCGCTCGATTCTTACATAATGACAGACATCCTTGCGGAGACATTCTGTAGAATGCTTTTGCATCCAATGTCTGAATAATAGCGCCAGAGTAATTTGAGATCGCTTGCGTGTCCGACATGTGGCCGCAAATGCCGGCAGCACATTTCATCTGTCATGTTGACAATTGTGATCAAAATAGATGTTGCTTGATGGGTCTTCAATTTAGTGGTAGTAAAATTGTGAATATAAGTTACGTATAAAACTATGGTTTGGTCAAATACATGTGATTATATTCGTGTATCCAGCTGGCAGCCAGGCATGGGCCGTAGACCAATTCAAAAACTTGATACTGTATTGCCGGTAAGAAAAGCACTAGCGTATGCAATATAAAGGTATGGTGATGGATAAATATAATGAGTGACCTCAAGCAACCATGGTCCCTCTAGCATCGCGAGTGCAAATGACTTTTTAATATGCAAAATAACGCTTGTGTATTTCAGGGCTGTATGCAGAACTGAAATCTAATTAACTGAGATTAAATCAACACGATTATTAATCTCAATAACTTTAGGTACCGTCCTTTAATGACAAAATTTCTAAAGCATTTACAGCAAACTGCAAGCAAATTAAAACATGGGGTGGACTTGTGTCTCTATACTGGTTCTCCTTCTCCATACACCAGCTTTGAGAACCATCCTGGATGAACCTGTTTTGCGTTTTGTTACGCTATTCTTGTCGTTAAAAGTCAGGACAGTGTGTGCTGTATTTTTGGTTAGGTTGCATTGTTCATTGTTTTCGTTTGCACTGAGGCGCAGCTGCGGAGCGCTATAATTCGACGCACTGCAATTCCGTGGCAATCGCTCTTTATGAACACCGCCGCCTCCATTTGCGTGACTTCAGGCTATGATAAACTAAGGGTGGAAATTTAGACAGGAAAAGGAGATAGAGAACTAGACGACGACGTCAAACTAGAGAAGATGACTTCCGCGGCTTTCGACAGTCCTTCACACATGAACACATCCGATTACAAACTCTTTCCATGCAGAACCAAAAACGTCGCAATTGAGATAGGTGTTTGGTAGGTCACAGAAATTCTCAGAACTTCGACGACAACACCGTTATAATAATATATAATAATAATAATAATAATAATAATAATAATAATAATAATAATAATAATAATAATAATAGCGGTTTCAGCGTTTACTAGGCCGTAGGCCTGTCGCCGATTCTTAACATCGCAGAACATTCACAGCATTTTGCGGTCTCGAACTCACAACTCTGCTACAATTCTGGCTGTTTAACCGCCCGACCTCCTTGCCGATTCTGACCAGTAACTGGCGCACAGAGCTGGGATTGAATCCGCACCTCTCTGCGATAATCTTGGTACTCTGAACTGTAACCACTGGGCCACCCTGTTTGATGGAAGACTTTGAGGAGTGCGATAGCCAACATTTAGTGCGCCAGTGAAGTGTATATTAGACTCTCACCAACCAAGTGTTTGGAAATTGCCTGGCTTAAAATTCAGATCTTCATAATATTAAGGTGTCCTGCAAGAAGTGAACTGAACATGAATACTTCATCTCAGATTTCCATTAATACCAATCTCTGTAATGTCCTAATTTCAGCAAATAAATATGCCAAAAAAATTTGAATTACTCATGCTCAAGGTAACTTCACAAGTAGCAAACTATATAACAAATCATTCAAAACCCCAGCATTATTTCAAGGCTCACACTAGTTGGCGTTGTGCAGTTGTACGCGGCAACCTAACCATTGGTTACTAGGCGACAATTTGCGTTCAACACGATGAAAAACTTGCCTGAGCAACCCAATGCATGTAGGATCTTGCTCCCTGTGGTATAGAAAGTTCAAGACCTGCAGAGGATCTTCTTCCTAGTAGCCTAGATGTTTAAAACCTGATGTTTTAGCCTCTAGTCTAGCCAGACGACACGGACAGAAATTCTTGTTGTTTTGTTGCAGTGTCGTAGCTCTGATCAGGCTATTATGCTGGCGGCGGTCATCTCAGTTTATGCACTGAGCACAAGCCAGACGTGGGAAGTGGAAATCTTAGATGACATTAGGCAAGGCTTACAACAAGAACCAATAGATTAATTACATCTGGAAATCGAGAAAAATTGTTTAACTGTGTACATAATGTTAAAACAATTTTTTGCGGCAGTTACTTGTATTTATCATTTCGGGAGTCGTTGAGGTCACATTGAGAATAAAAACCTGAGCTATGTGACCTTATTCGCATAGAAGCGTTGCTGCTTAATGCTCCTGCATGCCAGATGCAATGTGTGATGCGTTCAATCGAGCAAACACACTATTTCTTTGCCTCTCATTGAGCAGCCATAAGAGCTTTTTACCGGATATAAATGCAAACTTTTAAGTATTTTCAAATAGTTTGAATGACTCCCCGGATGGCGATGCCTTCTAAGTCCACGAATAATTTATTTGCAGTGAGCAATGTCATAAGATGGATTTGTGGCGCTTCGATCGTTAAGACGGAATTTTCGATAAATAGTCTGAATAAATATGACTGTATATTCTTTCAATTGTTGAACTGAATACAATTTTCCAGCAAAACATGAATGGCAACCAGTAGGAAACGTTACGTGTACGAGCCAAATTTATACGGTAAGTGATTGATGTCTATGTTCAGCTGTGGATTCAATGGTCTTATCTTGTTACTATTGCTGCACCATTTGTCCAAACATCCGCACTTGCTGCAGACTGAGCCATTTTACCTAATGCAGGTCATGACTCCTTTTGTGAAATCAATTCCTAGATTTATGTTTCTAAATTACACAGATTTACGGAGAAAATGTTTAAACTAATACTGCAAGTCCGCAAAAATTACTTATTTTTCAGCAAAATTTGCCTATAAATATTTAACACGTTGACTACGATTGCTTCATCTTGTACTATTATTTCATTTTTTGTACTGTTTTTAAACAGGGTTGCCAGACGGTCATTTTTTCCGGACAAATTCCGTTATTTTGTTTTTCTCATTTGCGTTGGCCGGCTAAAATTTATGATAGGAGTGCTTCCTAATTAAATTTTAAATACTATAAAAAGAAAATAAATAGAATTTTTATAACGGAACCTACAAATAAACTAGTATATATTGAGTCATCGGCCTTTTTTGGCATTTTTTGTTCACGGATTTGGCCGATTTTAGGCAACCTGAATTATGTACCACTACGTCCTGAAGAAATACATTTCGTGGTACGCATATGTACCACTTCGGAGTCAACGTGTTAAACAATCAATCCCCCGATCATCTTGCACATTTCATCGGCTTTAGTTTGATCGGTGGAATATCTCCAGTTTTCCAATCATCGAAACTAACGTGTTTGAAAATTTCGGAAATTTGCTGCAAGATGCTTACGAATGAAATTTAGCTATTCTCTCTCATAGCAAGTGCAGCGACTGAGCTATTATAGCAGTAACTTCAACGCACTCATCGAATAGCAACAATATGTTCATTACATCATAAATTTCAAATGAATATCAAGTAAATAAGTAGCTCATAACAGTGCCTCATGCCTAAGACTATACACTTCATTGTGATCAAGATCGACATCTCGTCCAAAACTCAATGTGAATAGGGAAAATATTTCAGTAGCTTATTATTATACGAAAATACGTGCATTTTATTGCTGGACTAACCTTCATGTAGACGAGACAGATCTCTCCGGTAGACAGGATACCGAGCAAGGGGAAGGCGAAGACAGGTATGAGGGCGGTGACGGGGATGGGTAGAGCTTCCGTCATCCAGTAGATGGCCATCACAAGGATGACGTAGCCGCACCGAGCCTCCTGAAAAAACGCAGTGAGTTTGGTGATCAATCACCCTTCTATCGATGGATGTACAAATAATATAGGAACAATGGTTGTACATATAATATAAGATCAATGGATGTATAATAATTATTAATTTATGAACATTGGTTGTACACATTATATAAGATCATTGGATGTAAAATTAATCGAGGAATTGTGGATGAGCAATCAATGTAAGAACAATTGATGTTATAATAATAAAGGAATAATGAATACGGAATGAATAGATGAACAATGGATGTGAGATTCCTCGAGCATCATCACGAGTATTTCAGACTAATCGAAGCAAAACTGAATTATTAAATGTAATATGAAAATGAGTTGTGATCTGCTCGTATCAATTGACCGCGCTTATTTTAATACAGCAAATTTGTCCGTACGTATTGTAGCTTGTGTTTTCCATCATGCGGCTTTCGATATATTTTGAACATTTAAACATCGCTAGTATTCGATCATTTGGTTAGCAAAAATTCACATAACCTCAAACATAATTTCTCAAGTTTGATTACAATTTTTGAATTAATATCGTCAATAGCATCAAGTCATTTTATCATTATCTTATAATAAAATTAGTTACCCTAGTCAAGTTGTTCGAATATCCCAAAAAGTCTCCGGTGTTTACAGAACCTGAATCTCTCTCTATAAGCAGTCCAACAAACCCTGGACAGCTCTGAGATAGATAATTAATGTTAACAGATGCAAGAGTGCAAGGTGCACAATGGTGCACAATGGCACACACTGCTCAAGTGCATTTAAAGTCAAGGTACACAATGGCAAAAACTCAAGTGCATGTAAAGTCAAGGTACACACAAGGCACACAGCTCAAGTGCATGTAAAGTCAAGGTACACACAAGGCACACAGCTCAAGTGCATTTAAAGTCAAGGTACACTGGCACACATAGCTCATGTGCATTTAAAGTCAAGGTACACAATGGCACACATAGCTCAAGTGCAAGTAAAGTCAAGGTACACAATGGCACACATAGCTCAAGTGCATGTAAAGTCAAGGTACACAATGGCACACATAGCTCAAGTGCATGTAAAGTCAAGGTACACAATGGCACACATAGCTCAAGTGCATGTAAAGTCAAGGCCAGAAAAGGTGAATGTCGTCATTACCGCGACGCGGACCTCATGGTGTTTGTGTGCTTGAATTGCATGTGGTAAGTTGTATAAATGTTTCCGTTAGACCATAATTGTTATACTTTAAAAATTGCTATGTGCAATTTTCAAATAAAAATATTATTTCTGGTCAATACTGTACAATCAGCATCGTTGGCATCCGGCCAAAAGTCGGGCCTCTGTCGCACATATTATTGGTTATTACACTTTTGTTATGACAACCCCCAATTTTGGTGTTTGAAGGAAACTCCCAGAGCTATAGCTCAATATTCATGTATGATATCCCTCATGATGTGTGTGCCCAAATAACACAATCAATTTCTTTCGGTTATCTTTTGTGCTCTTTTTTATTGACATGTACCGTAATATATAGACTTATGGTGCATGATAACAAAATGCTGCTGTCCTAAAAATATTGAATGTTACGTTTCGTAATATCACAGCAGTGCTTATTGCTGCACAATCTACTGGCAGCTAACTAAGAACAGGTGACAGGTTATCTCTCAGAATCCAGGATCTCAGAATCCAGGAGCTCAGAATTCAAGATCTCAAAATCCAGGATCAAAATTGAAGTTGACAATTTTCGATCAGCACTGTATATGGTTCAATTGAGAAACTATACCTCTTGAAATTCGTGCCACAATTATAGTTTTTTGAGATCAAAGGCAGTCCAGCAATTTTTTTTAAATTAATGTTTCGTCTTTAACATTTGTCATCCATGTTGTGTTAAAAACAGAGAGGGGAGGGAGGGTTTTCCAGGTGCTAAAAAGAGTTGTAATGACTTTCAGGTTAGTATGAGGCAGTACTGCGTCGCTTTGATCATGAAGCTATTTCTGTAGTGAGATAATTATTATTTCTCACGGTTCTCATGTAATTATTTTATAACATTAAGTTTATTGTCTCGTAATATATATGCAGCAAGTGATCCGTACCCAACTGTTGTGGGGGTGTTAGAATCCTTACAATGCAGGCTATACTTCTTATCAATACGACTGTTTCTAACAATATCAATGAAGTTCAAATTAATAATAGTAATAAAGTCAAATAAGGTGCGACAAGACTTTTTTTAACTTGGTGTATATCACTGACTGTATGAATTTTCTCAATGTACGAAGCGATACTTAACTTGTTCCATTGATTGAACAAGTTCGAAATACTCGCAAGACATGATCCAAGACATGCTTTAAGGTCGGCAAATCTAAACGTAAGTTTGAGTTCGCGTTGGGGAATTATCATGGTCGCCATTCGCCCGGCACGTGATACCAAGCTCGCCTGTAATAACAGGGTCGACAGAACGACTGTCTACCAACGCCATTGTCACGCTGAAATTGTTGACCTCGTGTGTAATTATGAGGCTTTAGAGGCACACCTGAACTGCACTCTGTACGTGAATTTGTGTGAACTGCACATTGTACGCTGACAACTTCTATTTTTACAGCGTTAATGAGCGAAGGTTACCGGTGGCGCAGAGCGGGTAAATATCATTTGATATAAACTTTAAACAAAGGTTTTGGCTACTGATAAAAGTTGAAATGCAACATCACAGAAACATGCAATATGAAAGATTTTAGAATTATTGAAAATATCATATATCATAGAGCTTAATATCATTAGAGCTATTGAAAATATCATATACTCAATTCTGAAACATAAATCATCTCTGTTCAGAACAAAATTACTATATTATGCTTTTATGAGGAACTTACGATAGATAGAACGATAGAACTTATGATAGAAAGAACTTACGATAGAGATGAGGGCGAGAGGGAGCAAGAGGAGAGGCGTCAGGACGACAACCAGCAGCCGCCAGGGAGGCAGGAAGTGGGGCATGAGAAACATGATGACGGCGGGGGCAGTAAAGATGGATGCCTGGGTCTCTTGCTTGCTGGAGAAGGCAGGGCACTGCCAGAGACCCTTCAATGGTGAAGCTGGTGTTAGGGAGCTGGCACTGCCAGAGGCCCTTTAATAGGGAAGCTGGTGCTAGGGAGCTGGCACTGCCAGAGGCCCTTTAATAGGGAAGCTGGTGTTAGGGTGAGCACTGTCAGAGGCCCTTTAATGATGAAGCTGGTGTTCAGGAGCAGGCACTGCAAAAGACTATTCAATACTGAAGGTGGTGTAAGAGCCCGTCCAGAGTAGCCGAAGTTATAGATGTCTACGTCAGAGCGTTTGGCTTGACATTTGGCTTGACTGCGTGAGACTGAATAGTAAATGTGGCCGTAATTAATACGAATAATTTTAATATGGAAGTATAATACTGTTAACGTGGTATTTAAATAGCTAAAAGACTGAATGCATGCAAGGTCATATATTGCATGAAAAAATGAGGTCAACCAGCAATTTATGCTCCATAGTCAGCCCAGATAGTTGATACATGCAGGGACAACTTATCAATGGTTGACCTTCTATGGCGACCAACTCTTCGCAAGTTACTTCTCCGGGACACGAATGTCTGATAAATGCGCCTGACTCTCGGGGCTTCGAGTTGTAGCGTTGCAATCTATGGTTCTTGTTTTTCAGTGTATAGTAAATTATAGAATAAAATCAGCCCACGACAACTTCCAGTTCTTTATTTCGTTTTCTATTTCCACTCTTAATTTTACATTTTCAGAATAGGATTGGTTCAATGAACGCTAAATCCGGCGTTGAATTCACGCTTGCTGAAAAGATTACTTCGCTACCTGCCCATTACATCGTTATTGGTCTGCAAGTAAAACAAGTACATTTTAAGGCAACTTAGAATTGATTGTACGCTATACAAAGAATACGAACAAATTAAGTAGGCCGTTCCACTCATGTTGTGTTGGTCTTAATAATAGAATCTAATTATTTATTTAGCAGGCTGATGTCAATGTTAGCTATTTAGCGATAAATTTATAATCCTAATATATATTTCGAATATTTTCATGAAAAAATGATACAAGTGTGAGGATGAACTCTATTCAAGTACTACCTCCCATCGGTACTGAATTTGGCGTAAATGTCTTCGATTCTTCACATTTTTCTAGCAACAAAGAAATAAACTGCGCCGGGTCAGATACACAGAGATTTCCTAACTACAAATATATTTTTTTTTTTGCCAGGATGTAATGGAAGTGTCACTACTACGCACTTCCTCAGGTTCGCGTTTACGCCGTTTTTATCACATGTGTGAAATATGCAAGAAGGTTTTTTATCACATAAGTGTTCGTAGCAAGAAGGTTCTTACTATAAATGCTGGCATACTATAAATGATGGCGTTATGCCAGACTGATGGACTAGTGTTCTATTTGATTTTTATACATATTCAAATTAACTTGTTTAACATAGAGTATTCTATTGTAGACTTGACATCGAAATATGCTTGGAATTTTATTGTTCTTGAAGATAATTTGTGCACGCGATCGCGTTCGAGTTTTCGTCAGAGAATATCAGAAAATTAAATTTTTCATACTTTTCCATGCACGTTTATTTTCAATTTATATATTTGTATAAACAACGGCTATGAAGCGCTTTTCAATTCAGTATTACTTATTATGTTATTATCCATAGAAATTAGAAATGGTCAAAGAATTCGGTGAATTGTTGAAAATTTTCTATTTAAAAGTGCAGAATCATGCGCTTAAATTCTCGCCAGGTACAACTTAAAGTACATCGATATCTCTACATAATTGTTAGCCTTAGGGTGAAGGTGCCAGATTTCCTTTGCTCACTTAGTTCTCAATTTGCAAGCATTGCCGTATTCAAGCCGGCAAACGTAGCCAGTTTTCACAGACCGGTTGTGTTTTAACGGAGCAAAACAGCCCTTGTTTCACAACAAGTGTAGTTCAAGAACGTAATTCAAATTTATCATTACGTATTTATTATAGCAGGTAACACACAAAGTAAAGCTTTTGCGTTTCATGAAATGTTAGAATTAAAAAACTTCACTAAGTCCAAGTTTAAGACACTCTCATAAGTGAACGGCCATTGATATAAATGCTCAGTGAAGCGATGTTGCGCTGCGTCATCGCGAGATCTTTTCCATTCTGCGGTGGGGTTGGACTTGTGTCATCAAGCACGGAACGCACTGCACACGACGTTACTCGCGCCCGCTTAGACCACGACTGTCAGGTGTTGACTGCTGACCTACCAAGGATGCTAAGTTTGAAGAAAAACTTACAGATAATGATTGCCAGCCAAGGCTCCTAGAGAACTGAACAATGGGTGCACACATACATGTATCAAGGAGCCATGTTATGTGCAGATTCAAACATTCATCTCTGTTTCGTGTTCTGAAGTAGCTCAACAGTATTCGTAAATCGTAATGGCTGGCTTCAATCCGCCAGTAGTAAATTATAGGATATTTCTCATTTAAAACCATTTACCTCTGCCAATGGCAACTTCTGTCCCACGTTATTACTTACTCGTCATGTTCTTTACGATATGAGAAGCACGAGCTAAATGCCATCAAAATTTGAGTCAGAAGTGGTTTCAAAAGTTGCCCCAACAATTAGGAAATGAGACAATATTGAACAATGTTAATGCAATTTATTAAATTATTATTTTAGAATTTTACTTCATGGAAGATGTTTTTCCAGAAAAAAAAACTTTTCTTAATATAGAGAAAATTTTAGTTTATGACAGATTTTTTTGGCATAGTGCGCCTTACAAAAATTATTTGGTAAAATTGTGCTTCGTTGAGAATCTTTGATAAGTTATCCGACCAGAATGTATTTAAAACAACATTTTGAAGAATTTTAAATTTAATTGTGCGCTAATAAACTTAGCGATGTTTTTCGTGGAGGTCATTGTGGTGCCTAGACGGATCACGGTTCACACTTCACGGAAGCTTCAGTGTTTTGGGGTATGTCTTCGAAGTAGGCAGGGAGCTCGTTGGCACTGTTTACTGGTGACAGCTGATTGAGTTAAAAAATTGTACTCATTCCGTCTTTCGTTGTTACCATCAATTATTCATCATCGCCACTATTTTTAACTGTAATGTATCGGAAAAATTTCCTGAATAATGAATTCAGTGTAAATTATGGTCATTTACAATTAGATGTCGAAGCCGCAGTTAGTTCCTAACTTCCTTGTGTTTCTATTCAGCTGACATCCGTGATCACGTTCTAACTCATATGCTTATGCCATGGCACAGCCATGCCATGCCTTATGTTTATGGTCACCTGGTGATTGTCACAAATTGACAACTAAGACAAGGGATGAAGGGACATGGGGCATAGATGCAAACTAGAGATTTTTAAGAATCAGTTCATTTTAAATTTCCTCATTTACTCAATATTTTAATCAATTTTTTATATAATGATTATGCTGGCATCCAAGTCTCAAGATACTTACTAGTCTACTTATCTTGTAGGACGTTAAATGAACTTGAGTAAAGATTACAGAAAATGGTTCTCCTTTGTCTTTGTCACTATTGCACATCCAGGATCATGATGCAGTCATCATGTCATCATCATGCAGATGCAGAGTTTGGTAGATGCATTGCCTTGTGGCTTGTGGGTGTGGCCATCAGTGATCAGTCTTTATCAGATTTGTTGCTGCCTTGCTGGGCACCGGCAGTCTTCAAGATGCATTGCAAACATAATTTTCATTAAAATTCTTACAAAACCAACTTTGATGAGTATATCTTCAACACTCAAGGCATTGCAGTAGATACTTGCATTGCAACCAACCAAGTTTACTAATTTGTGGATTGTGCTTTGCAGCCTTATCTAACTTTCAAAATACTGCAGGTGCAGACAATGGTACAATACATACAAACACTGCAATAGTGATGTAATTCAATTGTAACAGTTAATCAAATTAAATCATTAATGCTTCTCATTCTATATTCCGTCCTGTAAATTAAACAAGCTTTTTTATAATTTATCAAAAGATCAATGGATCTATTACTCTAACAGTTTACAATGATAAATTTTTTAGCATTAGTTAATATTTCTTATGTAATGTATTTATGTATTCTGTGGTTAGTCAAGTTCTCTTCTGACAGTTTTTAGTATTTGCAATTCATTTAATTCATCTGAAAAGAGCACTGCAATTATGCCACTTTGCCACAATACTTTAGGATATGCAATACATCATGTACTCAGTACATGATGTATTGCATATCCTAAAGTATTGGTTGATGGTTGTGTCCATTGATTGGTTGTGTCCATAAGCCCCGCCCCCAAATATGGTATATGTGCTACAGTACTGGTTAACTAAATACTTAACTTAAACTTGATCATTATGAACAAAGGGCTGGGAAAATTTTCTAAAAATCCAATAAATAAAATAAAAATAAAAAATATCTATCAAACAAGAGATATCCAAATTATTCTATAACAAACCTAATGTAGTACTATACAATTGAAATAGTTTGTCCACTTATGATCCAACCTTTACATTTATAGTCAGTAACATGGCAGAGCACTGTATCACAGGAAAGCTTTTCACCTTGGGTGGAAAGCTTTTTTATAAGTGAACTTCCAATCTTAGAATTCCAGCCTGCCATGTAGCAAGTATTTTATAAATTATTTGTGGGCCATTCTAGGCTTAAATCCTGCTTTAATTCTTCATAACTTTCATAATGACCATTGACCAATGACCTTTTCTTTATAACCAGTATTTTAGATTTATATGTAATCGGCGGAAATTAAAAATGAACTGATTCTAAAAAATCTCTGGTTTGCCACTATGGTAATCCTTATCTTCATGCTGCTGCTGAGTTATGAATCTTTGCCATTGCTCTTTTCCAATCACTGCAGACATATTTGATCCCCTATTAGTAGCACTGGTATAAACACTAATAACATTTGGTAATACTTCATCTCCATCCATGGGCTGGAGACTAACTCTCCCTGAAGATCTCCAGAAGGTCCAGTTGGCTGAATATCAAATCTCTGCTTGCTTGACCCTCTTACACCAAATTGCCCCTAAGTTCTACCCCATTCCTTATATATATATATACCAGTATAATTCCTCCTAGCAGACATCCTCAGTACTTACCATATCTTGCTATTTCCCTATGTGTAATCTGAAATTAAAATCAAATTTCTTTCTATAACCACAGTTAAATAAATCTGGGTAAATGCATTTTTAGCACATTTTCTCTTTATAGAAAAAATGCACTATTGTGCTTACCATGTCTGTCTGTCTGTCCGTCCATGACTTCACATTTTCATTGATTTTAAGAATCGGGCATGCCTGTATCAAAGATACGACATCTCTAGCTCTAATGCAATGTACTAATTGCAATGAAAACGGATTCATGCACAAGAAAATGAGCTCTCTGTCACTTGCTGCCGTGAGTACTGAGTTTATTTTTTTTAATTTATTTATTTACTACTTTTCAGAACCATGGATAACCAGTATTCAATTGTAGAGTACACAAGAGATCATAGTGGCTACCGATGTGGGTACTGCAAGAGTTCTAATGCAAACTACAGTCATGGTAAGTTCTATCCTCACAGTCTTTCATGATTTTGTATAAGAAATCTATCTACAAGCATACATAGTTTAGTTTGTAATTTTCATTTCAATTACTGTAAGATGGGATCAGCTCACTTATTTCTTCTGTGCAAAAATATGATATTTTGGCAAATGCTCAATTCTTTATGCCCATTGTACCAGCACAAGTGGTACATTCAATGTTCCTCAGCTATTCGTGGTTGTCATGCTAGTTGATTGATTTCAGTCCTATCATACCTACTGCATTTGTCCATGATAGTTAGTTAGTGGTAACATGACCAGATGTAGAACAAGCACATTTTATAGATACGTAGTATTGTGAACTGAAATAATGGAAATCTTTTAAACTATCATTATTTCTTAATTTTATACCTGGCAATACCTAGCTAATATTTTTATTCCTGTATATTTATGACCCTCATTATTTGTGTTCAAGTATAAATGAGTATTTGGTAATTCTGTAAACTTGAGAATTTGTTTTAACTATTGTGATTTGAGTTACTTTTGATCTTAATCTTCATGCATTGAGACAAAGATTGTTGTGCAGGTATGCATGCCTACTGCCTCACTGTAGATCACTATCAGGGCCTGATAGATCGGGGCTGGAGGCGCAGTGGATCTTACTGCTACAAACCTACAATGCATCGCACCTGCTGTCCAGCTTACACTATAAGGTACTCACTTCTCTGGTAAAGTATTATTCCAGCTCTCTCATACCTACATTTTCATATTTACCTATATTAATGTACATTTTTTGCATTTACTTATTGACCTTTGATTTAGCTTAAATGTGGTATTACTAGACAAAGATAAATCCAGTTGATTCCACCTAATTATTGTATGCCTGTTTACAAGGCATCTGATATTCCACAATCACATAGAACTTCAGTACCGTACTCTAGGTACCGTATGTGGTTCTGTGTTAGTCGTCCATGCTTATTGTTCCTGTTTAGCCTAATATGTATTTAACATATGTGGTAACTACCTTGACTTATTCTAGTTTAATTCTATTCTTGCAGTCTATAGTTGAGTGTTCATTACAAAGTAATGTTTCAATGTATTGTTTGTTCACAGATGTCATGCTCCCAGTTTCCATCTTAGTAAATCTCAGAAGAAAGTTTTGAAACGAATGAATAATTTTTTAGCTCATGGGACTCGCAAGCAGAGCTCCGAGTCTTCTACCCAGCAGCACTGTAAGTGGAAAATAATTTGTGTGTTGAGTGCTTACCTACAATGCTGTATTGTGAAGGAAGAATAACTTCTTGGCCTCTGCTTCTGATGAGTGAGTTTGTGACAATTATGCAAGAAAAATTATGTGCATTGTTTGAGTGAATGAAATCAACGTAATTGTAACATGCTGCTTCATGAAGGAATCCAGCATGATGAATAATATTACTAAGGTTCATTGATTTTCATTATGAGCCTTCAAATATTGTTCTAAGATTATTAAAGCCATGTTCATTTATATTTAATGAGTGTTATCATTATTTATATGATCTCAATGCTTCGGCTGCCATTGGTTGCTCTAATTAATTTTATTGGGCTGGTAAGTAGAGCCGAATTGATCATTTTTGCTGCCCAAAAGTTGGGGCTGAGATTTGGGTGTGCAGAATACATTAATATGGGGGTAATTAATACGATACTGTTGCAGGTGATGGTGGTAATGAATATGTTGCAGGTGATGGTGGTAATAAATATGTTGCAGGTGATGGTGGTAATTAATACGATACTGTTGCAGGTGATGGTGGTAATGAATATGTTGCAGGTGATGGTGGTGATGAATATGATACTGTTGCAGGTGATGGTGGTAATGAATATGATACTGTTGCAGGTGATGGTGGTAATGAATATGATACTGTTGCAGGTGATGGTGGTAGTGAATATGTTGCAGGTGATGGTGGTAATGAATATGTTGCAGGTGATGGTGGTAATGAATATGTTGCAGGTGATGATGGTAATGAATATGTTGCAGGTGATGATGGTAATGAATATGTTGCAGGTGATGATGGTAATGAATATGTTGCAGGTGATGATGGTAATGAATATGCTGCAGGTGATGGTGGTAGTGAGAGTTTCCCAGAGGTGGCAGTACAGCACCTAGAGAGGCTTGGAAGTGATGGTGAAGAGAAGAAACCTCAAATCACGACTTTGCTGGACGAAGTTCCTTTACAAGGTCAGCTATGCTGCGTGAAGAAATTTTATTGTTCAAATTACATGAAGCTCTTCAAATATTATTTCTTATATTTAATATTTCAACAGAAATCTCTTGTTTTGAGTTGAAGCAGAATTTAGTTTCAAGAATTTTACCAGAATTATTGCCAAAATTAAAGTAGTGAAACATTTATTTTCATTCAGTATTTCTTGTTTTTTCATGAGTTACTATGATGCGCCTTCATGCAGTATAAGTTGATGCACTGGACAATGGTACAGTAACTTGAATGAAGCAGGTTCTATCTGATAAAAACTCATCTGGGCCTAGTGGGGATAGGTTCCTAAATGTAATCTCTACTTCTATTTCTAAATTTAATCTCTACATCTTTTTCCAATTTCAATTCACAGTATAAATAATATAGGGAATGAATAACAAATGAATAATTTATAACAGTCGTAACCCTAAAAAAACAAGTACATATGATATTTATTTTTCAATTTGAGGCTAGGCCCTTAGCTATAATTATCCTATAATTATCTAGGTTTTATTATTTTGTTGTTCCTGAAGATATTCTATAATTTTCTGCACACAGAAGAACGACAAAAAGCAAGTAGCCGCCCTCCTCACGAGGACCAAGTTGTTGGGTCTCCGTCTAGCCTCGCCTCCTCCGAGTCTTCCCTCAATGCCAGTAAAAAAATGAAGACAGTATCTCCTGGTGAGGAAACTTGTTAACAGAATCTTGTCTCCTGGTAAGGAAAGAAATTTGTTAACATTATTATTATTCCTATAATTATTTTGTGAACAACACCGCATAGTAATTAAGAGCAGCCAGAAATGTTAATGTAGCATTAAAGTCTTAATTTGATCTCTTGAGAAGACCTGAATTGATCACTATTTTCTGCTACTCACTTGACATTATCGAAGAGATTGACTCATTCTCCTTCTTGTGGTAATAATGCACTGCCATTACAACTGAGAAATGATTGTGAATTGTGTGTAAGTACTCATGTCATTTGTCTCCTTGCGTCACAAGTTTATCAAGAATTTAAAAGCAAAGAATATGGCTAGTAAGATATTGTGAATTTACATGCAATTTCTTTACTTTTTAAATCTTGGTAAAGTTTCAAACCTGCCAAATGAGGGGTCTGGAACATTAATTTAGAATTGAATAAATCAATAAATTTTACTATCTAATTATATATATTTGTACGTATTCAATTAACAGCTCAAATATATGGTAGCATAATTTGTTTTATTATTTCTGTAATATTAAATGCCCATTCCAATTAGAGTTTCATACACATATTCTGACAAACATTTTCAGTCAATAAATGAGCAAAAATTAGAAAATGAGATACCTGGCGCGTTAATCCCTTAGTCAAAATATTATATAAGTCTACGTAGTGCTACCGTAGGTTCAAAATTTTACTTGAAATCTGGTTGTCTATTCTATCCCATTTTCATTATTGAAAGGAAATTTCCCACTGAAGATGACAATGCTGCCTGTTTTTTTTAAATCAAGAGCAATTGTTGAGAGCGGCGCCTTTTGCAGGCTTAGGAGCCGACCCCAATAAACCAGCGTGTCGCAAGGCGCGCGTCAAGCGCCTAGAGCGTCGACAGGCAAAACTGCAGCGCCTGCAGGAGAATGACGCCTCTTCCAGCACCGCCTCTTTCCCTTCATCTGGTCCCAGCAGCGCAATAGACGCAAGGAAAAAGGACAAGAACGCACCCAAGTCCCTGGAAGACCTTCTCAATGAGTCCATTACAGACTCCCCGGCTCACACTCTAGAGGTGATAGGCTTTGCCTCGTGTCCCTAAACTCCAGGTACTAGTTACCTGAGGGGTCTTAAGGTCTTATGGTGATTGTTGTGGTCTGGATGATGTGTCTTGAGGTGCTGTTGATGACATGTGTTGTGGTGCTGTTGATGACGTGTGTTGTGGTGCTGTTGATGACGTGTGTTGTGGTGCTGTTGATGACATGTGTTGTGGTGCTGTTGATGACGTGTGTTGCCACAAGCTTGTTCTGTTTCTACACTCCTATAGGCACAGCAGCAGAAGGAGTTTCTGTATTAATCATACGAGGCTTGAATGTGTGCACTAGAATCTTGCGCACGTTGCCAGGTCCTGGCTCCTAAACTCGGCTCTTGAGATCAGTCTCGACCGTGTCAGTAAATATATTGCTTTCCTTAATTCCTTAAATGATAGCAATGTTAAACTTTTCGTATATGCTAACGCATGTCGACAATAATGTGGGAATCTTGCCTCTCTTTAATCAGGATGTTTCTGTTACGGCTGTTTCTGCCCTAACACCGCATCTCTAACCATGTCTTCTCCCAGAACGTGTTGTGTTATTACCTCAATTTATTGTTGCATGTATGAAGCCTTCTTTTCTTCCAGGACTCTTATTATAGTGCCGAAGGTTTGCTGGATCTGTGGCGAATGTTGATGTGTTTGAATAGAAGGGGCTATTACAAGTGGCTAGTTACTCAATTAAATTGATACTGTACAATGGGTCAATTATCGTCTTTAATAGAGCCAAAAAAGAGATTTTAATTTAATGAATCTAATGTGGCTACAGCAAATTCAGTAACAGTTCATTGGACCTAGAACTAGTAATATTTTAACGAACTTACTTCCGCGACAACGATTTTGTTGATGCACCTGAACTCCCTCGGACGGTCGGTATGGAGGTGAGTTTATGACACCACGATGAGTTCATGCATTAACTCGATGTTGTTTCTGTTGTTGATGGGACCTTTCTCCCGCTCTCTTCGTTAGCAAAGTGCCTTTTTACGCAGGTCACCAACCGCATCTTTCCGACACAAGCTGTCTGGCTTGAAGTTATAGATTCTCATTGTCATATCAAAGCAAGCCATTTCTTGTGCAAAGTTTTTTTCCGGTATCCAGACATCGGTACAGTTGCCAATACAGTTGGACGGTATGCGGACATCGGTACAGTTGCCAATACAGTTGGAAGGTATCCAGACATCGGTACAGTTGTCAATACAGTTGGACGGTATGCAGACATCGGTACAGTTGCCAATACAGTTGGATGGTATGCAGACATCGCAACAGTTGTCAATACAGTTGGACGGTATGCAGACATAGTTGGCAGTAGGGGCAGAGTTGTTGTTGTGGTTCCCTGGTCTCATTTTTACAAGAGAACAGAGTTTCTGGCTGCTGTAGGTACGCCTGGTGCGCAGCAGTCCCGCCAGTGCAGGCTTCAAGAGTAGCAGGGACGCGAGCTATGCGGTGTATCAGCGCTACCAGACCAGCGTACACGGCGACTCAGAAGACCGCTGCCGGCATGTGCAGTGGAAGCGTTTTCTCGTCACGTCGCCTCTTAAGGTGCGGTCGTGGACTCAACTCTGCGGCGAGATAACCATTTTAGGCTCAACTATATGGCAAAAATAACCATAGTACTCTCCATAGTACTCCGAGTCCCAGACTCTGCGTTCATAACGATGTAGAAATTAGTACGGACTAGATGGGACTTCGATTATACAATGTAGTTCTAGGCTGCATCGTTAACAAAGTAAAACAATCTGAGATGTCCTCATCCAAATTTCCAATGTCTTCTAACGCGTTTTCTTTGATAGGTAGTTTGGATTTAATAAATCGATCCCTATAGCGTGAATTACGGACAATTTCGGATCCACTATTTACAAATTAAATTTATTCCCCGGTAAACACTGCACTGGAGTTCCTCGCAGCGTTGGTGGCCTGGCAAAAAAAGAAGCAATCCAGCGCCTGCTTCACATTTGTTATTAGTGCTAGGTTGAAAAGGTTTGTGTTCGTTTTTGTGAAGTCAAAGGTTTTGACTTTTTCTGGGCAACATGTTGTTCCCTGGTTATTCCACTCTCTCTTTGTTGTATAATGTTCGTTGGAGCTCTACATTGTTTTATTGTGTTGATTGTCGTTCTGTCTTCGTTACTTGCGCAATTTCTACTTTAAATCTATTTTAAGGATATTTATATTTTTTCTCATTTGGCTCAATTCGGCTGTGCGGATAAATAGCTTACTTAGACTAAGTTTAATTTAATTAGACTGAAAGCAAGCTTGCGTCACTCGTGGTTGAATTAGACATGGCTGAATTAGTATTCACTATTCACGCATATACCATAGGTATTAGTTCAAACATGGCATGAGCAAAGTACTTGACTTGTGGCTTGTTGTCCTCAGTTGCGCTTGGTGAGGGTGGACGAGGCGGACGTGGAGTCTCTGGTCGCCCCTCACGCGCTCTTCAAGCGCTACCAGAAAGCTGTCCATCACGAGACTGATGACGAGTGCAACTTTAATGTCTACTTTCACTTTCTGGTCGACACTCCCATCAAGGTATGGGCATTGTCACATCTTTGTTTCTGGTGAACATTTCCATCAAAGTATGGTCATTGCCACATCTTTGTTTCTGGTGAACACTTCCATCAAGGTATGGCATTGTTACATCTTTGTTTCTGGTGAACACTCCCATCAAAGTATGATCTTTGTCACATCTTTGTTTCTGGTGAACACTTCCATCAAAGTATGGTCTTTGCCACATCTTTGTTTCTGGTGAACACTTCCATCAAGGTATGGCATTGTTACATCTTTGTTTCTGGTGAACACTCCCATCAAAGTATGGTCTTTGTCACATCTTTGTTTCTGGTGAACACTTCCATCAAAGTATGGTCTTTGCCACATCTTTGTTTCTGGTGAACACTTCCATAAAGGTGTGGGTTTTTTCTTCTCTTCAATTTTCTTATCGGACTATCGCATCAGTTTATGAGGCTCTTCCTTCTTTCAAACTCACAGAGGAACTGAATTATTATGAGTAAAAATCGATTTTAAAAATCTGCTTGGTTTTCATTTTTTCGTGTATTAGAAGTCGGAGTAAAGTTGGAAAGTTAACTCCATCCTTTTGTTCTGTGTTCTCCTTTCGTAGTGTTCTCTGAATTTATTATGTATATCGTCTTTCTTGGTGGAGAAATTTGGTCACTTTCAAGCTTGGATGCCACCTGCTTGAATCTATCATGATTTACCGAGGGTCTTTATGAGAAAACACCAGCTAAACCGGGCCCTCCTATTCTTTAGGATCCGTTTGTTTTCATGGCTTCAATTGTTTATTTTATCCACCATTGTTTGGTTGTTCGTTGAGTAGTCTTCACTGACTTCTTAGTTCAATTGTAGCATCTCCTTTTTTAAGGTGTAGAGTTTTCTCTTAGGACCGTAATGGAAAATATGTTTCCGGTTTATCTATAACATTAGCAGTCTCACCGCTATCTCTGTTCGTGTGTAAGAGGCAGAGTGCAGTCCAAGATTGTATTTGTGGCGAACAATCTCTTGACTTTGCAGTTGTAACTCCAGTGCAGTGGACCACCGGTGACTTGCCGTCATGTCTGCTTCCCTTAAATGCCATTTACTTGAATATTGATTAAATGTCATTCATATTTCATTGAGAGGCGATTTAGAGACGCATCTCTACTTTAATTTAGGAATCAGGTAAAAATTCTGATCCTCTAAAAATCTTATCGCTTGTTGTTTTGTTGGATCAAAGAAACGCCACTTGATTTTAACAAGCATTTTAATATCATACAAGTTGAGAATATTTTGCTAGGAATAAATTACTTTGTTTGCTTTATTTTAGTTTGAATAATTATTTTAATTTATTTTGCTGATTCGAGGTAGCAATTACAAACTTGACTTCTGTTGATAATTTATTTCGTTTTCTTATGAAGAACTATCGTATACTTAGCTGCAGTGATTATTATCTACGTCATGATGGTGATGATGCTTCGGAAATGAATGGCAATGATATTTAAAAATGTCCATCATAACGTACCCTATAATGCTATAGGTTTTAATATCGAGAAACATTTCACAGTTTAAAATATTAGTGACGAAGCTTGTCAATGATTTAATAGAATCTTGTTTCTAGGAACAACATCCCGACGCTGGTCCCAGCTCCGGCCTGGGATCCTTCCACCAGCAGTACTGGCTGGACGGTGAGAAGCTCATCGCCGTGGCCGTCATCGACATCCTGCCGTGCTGCGTCTCCTCTGTGTACTTCTACTACGATCCTGAGTACTCCTTCCTGTCCCTGGGCACCTACTCCTCCCTGAGGTGATTGTCTGTACTTCTACTACGATCCTGAGTACTCCTTCCTGTCCCTGGGCACCTACTCCTGCCTGAGGTGAGTGTCTGTACTTCTACTACGATCCTGAGTACTCCTTCCTGTCCCTGGGCACCTACTCCTGCCTGAGGTGAGTGTCTGTACTTCTACTGCGATCCCGAATACTCCTTCCTGTCTCTGGGCACCTACTCCTGACGGAGGTGATTGGTTACTACCTCAAGACGACCCGAAGTCATATATGCCCCGTGAGGAAGACTTCGTTCCAACTCTTTAATTGTAATTTACCGAAGTAAGTACCTTAAAAAATTGAAAGTTTGAGAAATTTCATTTGGTGTTCAAATTCACCCTCGTACATTCTCTCAAGACTAATAATTAATTTGACTATTTTTTGCATTCTGCAAAAGAGCTGCATGTGCCCATTAGTTCAACTCTCCTCGTTTACTAAAGCTCTTGCTGACCGTTCGATTATTAATTACTAAAGATGCTATCCTGTCGTTCTCTTAACTTTGGGCGTTATCTAAATTCCTACGGACCAGTGACCGCAGCAAGATACGGTCCAATGATCGTAGGAAGATACTACGGCCTAACTACCGTAGAAAAATACGGCCCAACACGATAGATACGGTCGTTTGCTACTTCCTGCGTTCGCTACCATTTAAATGTTAATATTTTCGTATGCTTTGCATTCACGTATACAAGTGTCAAACGAGGCGGTTATGTAGCCATGTGATGGCCACGACGTTGCGACCTGCAGGCAGCGTCAACAGGCTCTGGTTCTCGGGAGTCAACGACTGTTTCAGTGTTGATCGTCATGGTAGATACGTACTACTGATTGCAGCTGTTTTAATGAGTTAAACTTAACATGATCTACAGCTGCTTGGTGCAATTGTGAAACTCGTACTTTCCTACCTGTCATTTTATTATACCTGCCAAAACGAGTTTAATTGGATGCCCTTCAAAATGAAATATTTTATGTGCGATACTACGATTTGTATGAAGTATTTCAGAATTATATTTCAAACGCAGAATTCATGCCGGACTTCTTGGCAACAAATGGAAAAGAACATTTGTGAAGCCGTAAAATCGGCAGGCTCTTTAGCAAAGCAGACGGTATCGCCTGCACTTGTTTTCAATTTACACTCGGCGTTTTTGCATTTACCGCTCGTTCCATGACTGATTTAGCCTAGCAAATGTGAGAGGCAAGTTGAACCGTTAAGTTTTTGTGGGATAAATTTTTCGCTGTCTTTCGAATGTTAGTGAAACTCAGTATTTGCACACAGAGAGCTTGCCCTGACTCGGGAGCTGGGGCGAGAGTACAGTCGCCTGGCGTGGTACTACATGGGCTTCTACATCCACTCGTGCCCCAAGATGCGCTACAAAGGCCACTACGAACCCTCCTTCCTCCTCTGCCCCGAGACATACTCATGGTGTCCCCTGCCACCTTCCGTTAAGAAGCTCGACGTAAATAAATACTCGAGGCTAGTGGAGAACTCTTCTGAAGAGGACACTGAAGGGACCAATATTGATATTGATAAGGTGAGAAAAATGAGTGGAAGATCTTGCGATTACTTTATTGTTCTTTCCGGTAGTTGACTTGAAAAATGTAAAGACAATAGACCGTGGTGAATTAGCTATCGTCAATTCGTACTTCTTTTCTAATACGAGAGCTAATATTTGTTAAGATGACTGATCAGAAATTTTTCTGATATTTATCAGTATATATATATCTGTAAATCCATATACATTTAGTATATATAATCAGAAAATATATCTGTAAATTCACTTTCTTGTCAATTTGTTAAACGTTAACAAGAGAAAATAGCAGTTTCTGTGGATAAAATTTTGTTGTTGACATTTGAAGCATTGTTTTGATTAGAAAAATCCTCATGGAAATTTTTAGAAATTTTTCATAAGTGACACAATATTTCATACAATTTAACTTACATAATGGCGTGAAAACGTCTAGATAATTAATTAACTAGATATGCAGCACTAAAAATGCCAACGTTGTCCAGATTCTGGTGCTGCACCAGCGCCGCCCGATGCGCTACGGCACATTCCGCGAGCTTAAGGGCGCGGACGAGGCGCTCGACGTCGTCGTCAGGGAGTACGCCGGCCTCGTCGGCAAGACTGCAGCCTGCACCATGATGCTCAGCTTGCCTTGAGACACCTGCAGCATGATGCTCAGCTTGCCTTGAGACACCTGCACCATGATGCTCAGCTTGCCTTGAGACACCTGCACCATGATGCTCAGCTTGCCTTGAGTGTTATCCGATATATACACTCAAATCTGATCTACGCTGTCGACATGATGTCTCTAGGGAATACGATATAGTTTCATGATGCTTCTACGTCAGCATGTAACATTGATTTTCTTGCAATGTCAGCATGTAACCACTTTGTTGTGTGAGTAACGTCCGAATGTAACAATTTCAAATGCTATCAACTTTTGAAATTCACTAAATCAACATGATGCGTCGTCATGTAGAAGTGAGTAAGATGACTGAGACTGCCTAGAGGCTTCAAAATGTGTTCTATAGTTTCTTTATACGTTCACAAAAGCAAGCCAAATATGTTTGTTGGTGCTCGGTGCGGCGTTCATTGACCACATCATCGCTGTATTGTAATCGTTGGCCTGCTCTTCTTCTCGTTCAATGATACACTTCGAGGTTGTAACGAAGTATTCTTCAATCACGTATCGATTAGTTACGGATTCTTTTTTGATTGATTGATTTTGATTTTTTGATTGATTTCACGTATTGATTATTCACGTTGTTGACAAGAGGGAAATTCGAGATTGGCTTTGATTTAATTACAAGTCGCACTTTGATTTTCTAATTTAAGCTAAGTTGCGTTGGCTTCGTATCAGATGAATTCATGCGCTAGTTTTTCTGTTGCTGACTTATAATACTTTTTCAAATATAATCTGGTGCACAAGAAAGACAGGAACCATCTTTCAATATTTTTTTCGTGGCGAGTCAACTGTAACGATAATAAAAGCTAAATCACACCCATTTCGGATAATAATTTCGCTATTAATCACACCGCAGGTACGTGTATAACCTTCCCTGATGACTATTGTCTTGACCGTATTGTGCTCCCAGAACGATATTGCGGCCGTTTCTTCTTCATCACCAGCTTCTAAAAATTGTTCTCAGTTAACCCTCTACCGCCTGACATGAGTATCGGAGCAATGTTGTCACAAGCCTACTTCCCAAAAAGCATACGTTCTTGTGAGCGCAAAATGACTTGTCGCCACGTACGATAACTTTAAAATGGTGTTATGAACATTTTACAATTTCATTCTCGTGTTGCGTACAAACGTCCTCAGGTTGCTACACTCAATAGTTTAAGTATAATTTACGTTGAAAGTTATGTTCCCAGAGATTGACATACGGCGGTAGAGGATTAAAGTGGGGAGAGCACTGATTCTCTAGCAGACCTCGTTAGCTAGTTGTAAATCGATTAGTGATACTTTAATCACTCAATATTTACAACCGATCCATTTGTTTTCCACTACATGGGAAATTTGTAGGGGGCAAGCATTTCGAAATGACAATTCGGAGGATGCAGTGCAAAATTATGAGTAGATTTAATTTGGCCTCGTTCAGCTTGAATCTTCAGTCTAGTCACGAGACTACAGGATGGCTCTCGTCCAAAATAATTCGTTCCAAGATACTGCGAACAAAATTTTCGCAGTTTTGTTCTTACTTCGGAATGACGAACTTCATTTTGTCGTTAATCCAAAGTAAGAGTGAACCATATGGCGTCAACTTACCATATGGCGGTGAACTTACTAACACGTTTGAGCGCCAGTAAAGTTGTTTTTTTTTCTCATATTTTTTGTGGACTACATCCGTTTTCTAGTCCTTCCGGCATCAATGCAGGTCAACGCGAGGATCAGAACAAAATGCGATGCAACATAAATTCATAGAATCGACCAAAAAAACTACCCTTACGACGTAAAACCCTAAAGTTGAGGTGCTAGTTAATGTCTACCATTTCGAAGCCGGCTAGTCTCAGCTGGTACTGGGAGGGAAGTTCATTACATTAATTGAGCCGGTGATGAATACTCTCAGGAATGTGATCGATTGATCCAGTCGTATTATTGTCGGTACGTTAAATATAATAAGTTCATATTTATTCAAGATGCTATATTTTTCTCGGTAACTTCTGCATGAAACATGTTTTTTGAAACAATTCGTCTATTCGATTTAATTTAATATAATACAACAATATTCGATGTGCTTACATACAGTCGACAGCAGTTGTCAAAAAATTACACGTTAGGCATCTCCGTTTTGACTGAAGTTTGATCCGCCCCATTTCATGATTTTATCCAAAAAATGTAACGATTCAGCTCCCACGCAATCGAGTGTTGTACAAGGGTCGATTTCACTTTATTTTATTTGGCTTAAACCCCAAATAATCATGATAAAAATGGAATATGTAATCCAGATTCATATAAATTGCGTTCAACGAGATGTAAGTGTTTCGTTAACTTAGAGATAATCGTGCAACCAATTTATATGAAGTATCCCCGTATTGCACGTATAATACTATAATTGGTGCACCAGAAACCCCAGTTTCATGCTCGTGTATTAAGTTTCTATAAATGTTTGTACTCCACATCAGCTGCTGCTTCATTATTTATCTTCCGTCAGTCCTAAAATCTTGCCAAAAATTATTGATTAGCATCCGAGTTGAAAAAAATCACACCAATTATGATAGAAAACTTGAATTTTCTCTACTACGCAGGATAAATTTCAAATACGAGTCTTGGAATTATGCCTAAGAACTTGAAATTTGTTTAATAAAATTTTTACTGTTCATGTATCTATTAATATTCAACTTGTGATCCTTCTCACAGCGATTGTCTTTCGATTAGCAAACAAGGCATCAAAGGTACCCAAGTGAAACCTAAATTTGCCTGGACAGTCAAGAATTTTTCATAATTGCAACCTTGTTAACTGAAAATATTAAGGAAGAATACAGACATCAGATGGTAAATCTTATTAGAATTACAAACACAAATTAACGAAATAGACGAAAATATCAAATTGGCGATTAAGATGAACCCTACCATTACCTCATGTTTTTGAGAATCGCTAGTCAGCTCTTGGGACGCAACTTACTAGAGGAGCAAAACATTCGGCACACAAAAATTCGACTCGTCGGCGGGTGAGAGCCCGGACGTCGGACATACGATTTACGTTAAGCACACGCTTTCAAATCCACCCCAAACGCTTCCAGGACAAGGACTTGAAGAACTTAAACCTCTTCAAGAAGCGTTTTCTTCCCATTCAAAAAATAAGACTCGCAGCACTTCAACAGTTTAAATTCCAATCATTCCTCCACACGTTGTACTAACAATAACTTAATTCAACTATTTAGCTCACGACAAGATCAGAACTTCTCAAAAACAAGTAGAATTCGGTGTACGAAACCAGCTGTACATCACCACTCGCTAGCAATTACTCAATAACTCGCCACAAGTCGAGACGCCCTCCAATACCAAGGTCTTCTCGGCCACCGGCGGCTCTTCGCCCAACAAGTCGGCGGACGTCGAGTCGGCGTCAGTGAGGGCCGCACTCCCAGGACGCTGCAGGTAAAGAAGCCCACGTCCTGGCTTCGCCACAGACGCCTGTAATAATTCCTCCGCCTCGCCACCTACGAGGCTGTCGTGCAAATGGGTTGGTTACGTGATATTCTCCACATATGGTCATAGTCATACTATATCCAACATTCCACATGATCATACTTCTCATGATCTTTACATATGATCATAGGTACTTCTCATGATCTTTACATATGATCATAGGTACTTCTCATGATCTTTACATATGATCATAGGTACTTCTCATGATCTTTACATGTGATCATAGGTACTTCTCATAATCTTTACATATGATCATAGGTACTTCTCATGATCTTTACATATGATCACACTTCTTCCACATATTTCAACCAAACACATATTCCAAGTTATGACTAAACTGATCCGGTCTGCTGGCCGTGTAGAGGCTACAGACATCGATTATAATTGCTCAAAAATTAGAATGATTCTCAAGCGGTTTCTCCAAGAAAACTAAGGTGTCATCGAAAACATGACTAAAATGAATTCGTATCCTATTATTCTATATTATTTTATACATAGACGATTATTGTAGCAGGAATTATTAATTAATGTGATGATTAGTTTGAGCCGTACCTGTACCGGCCGTTCTCTTCGTGCAGCACCAGTAAACTCTCAACGGTGCTCAGCTCCTCACCGAGAACATGAGTACCCGAGTCTTCCAACACCTGTTTAAGATAGCAGAAATAAATTCTATACAGCACTCATAGAAATCTGTACGATATTTGCTCAAAAATGACCGCATGAGTACATACTTCACTGATTTGTCGCATTTCATGCAGGTCTAATTATTACGCTCTGGTCAATCATTCATATAACTCTTTAAAAATTTTCCAAAGTTCAGAATAACTAACAATTTCAGAATGATACCAGAAGAAGCAAGTGAATGTCAGTACCTGAGGATTTGAATAATCCGTCTGTAAAGGCACTGACTGCACCTCAGTGCCAGCTCCTACGTCGCCATTTGAATAAATGTCAGTCTGAGCTCCACAGGCCGTATAAACGTCGCTGGAGTTGGCATCGCATGAGTAGAGCACCTGAATAAAATATTTCCGTCAGAAATATACTCGTATGTCTTTAAATAAATCTGAAACATTAATAATGATAGATTATATTTTTATTTATTGAAGTCAAATCTGCTACAAGAACCAGTTTTACGTCTTTTCTAACGAGTACAATATTCTCAAAAGATACAATTCAGATCAGCATTTGTAACCTGGACGCTGTCATTCTGAAGCAGAAGAGGTGCCGCCTCCTCGGTATCCTGCAGCGTAGTGAGCGCCTCGTCCAGCAGGTGATCGCATCTCAGCAAGCGCTCTCTGCTCCAACTAAACAAAAGAGGCCAACAATAAAAATTTTTACGTACGAAGTACGGCATTTAAATATCACGACTGAATTCCAGCTCTCAGATCTTTAATGATTGTTTTTGTTACAAATTTCTCGTATATTCGAGCACGAATCACAAAATCAATCAATTTTAGCATCAAATCACATATTGATAATCTTGCAAAGTCTCAGCATGCGCTCTCTGCTCCAACTTAACAGTCGAGGTAAATAAAATGTTACAATTGGCCGTCTAGCCCGAACACCATTTTATACCAGCGCTCAGATCTCAAATGACCATTTTTAATACGAACTTTTTTACATGTGAGCACTAATTTCCAGCCAATGTACACTAATGAAGAGAATAAAACAAAAAGTAAGCTTGTAATGGCAGAGGCAGAGTGAAAAATTACAAAAAATCAAATGCATACACAAATCGCACATGACAATTTATTTGACTTATTATAACCGCACATTTGATTTGACTAAAGCATTCACCCATTAAGACCGTTGTTGGGGTCACATTTAGCGAGTAAAGCAGTGAGCGCAGCGCACTTGCTCCTAAGCTCGAGTTTTATCTTCTCATTGCTCCTGAAGTCCTTAAGGTGTCCTGGAGGCTCGCAGGGGGCGGGTGCAGGGGCGCTGGACCCGTGGTGAGGGTCACGCATCAGTATCCTGATGAGGTGGACGTGTACACACACGGTGCTCAGCACGGTGCTGTCAGGACACGTGCATGTGTATTGATGCACGCACACTTCGCACTGCCAGCATGCCTGAGGCGTCGGGCAACAACCATTATTAGCTAGAGAACATGTAGTGTACAAATACGTGTTATACAACAACTATCTTGGCTGTTCAACCAACTAGGCGATAATCTAAACTAGAATTCTTTATGGATTGTGATTTTACCATAAAAATTGTCTCATAAAAGAACTCATTGCCATCCTTTACTACAATCTTACGAGGCATTTGACAACTGAGTAAACGTGGCACTGCGCACGTTACAGGAAATAAAATTTGATCATCAAAGCGAAAGAGAATCGATCAAAAATTCTAGGTGAATTAAAAAGTATTAGAGACCTGCGTACACGCTGCACTGCACATGCTCTTAAGAGAGCCGAGTTTGGTCTTGTGTGCCAGACGCGTGACGGAGTACCAGACATCGGGACGCTTGTGGCACCGGACCCGCCACTCGTGTTGCCGCAAGGGCGTGACGCTGTCGGGGCCCAGAGTGGTGGCCTCAGCGTGACGAGTAGCTATGAGCTGTGAAGCTCGACACCGGGGAGCCCCTGGGACGCTAACTGCTGCTGGGGGGGATTCCTTCATCGCTCTCAGCACCGCTGTTGAATAACAGTTCAGCTTCGCCACGCATCTGTACGTACAAAGTATCATATTTCAGCGGAATCAGAAAAACTCAAGTCAGGTGCTGCAGAAAGTATAATAATAAATTAACCCTTTCATAATATTAAATCATAAGCAGTTCTTTGGGGGAGCACAGGATTCCAAGTGTAGACAATTAATTTTTGAACAAAAATTAAGAGCACTTTTGCCCCAAAGCGGCGCTAACCTAGAACCCTGATCAAATGCAAGCTGAAAAAGATGTCGTTTCTAATCTCATTTAATTTGCATATTATAGGAAGTTTCTGCTAGCCTATTTATTATTATTTCTAAAGAGTGAGTGATTCCAAAGTGATGTCGGCTTGAAATAATTATTGCCAATTTCCAAAATTTTTCTTTGCAATAAAATAAATACTACCTTATACTAATTCCCAGGCAAGCTTGAAAGATTTCATTGCATTGATGAACATTACTCCAGAGAGCGTTGGCTCTACATCTGCAGTGGGTATAAAGGCATCCGAAATTGTAGTAAAAATCGCTTCATCCAAACTATATTACGCTCACAATTCAGAGTTGTCGAGTTACACTCACTCATCATAGTCTATACACTCACTCATCATAGTCTAGAGAAAAAGTCTCTTCAACGAATAGGAAATGCAGGAGGCTATGCAAGACGTCCAAGTAGAGGCCAGTGCTGAAGGCATCTTGGCACCTCTTCTCGAGCATCTGTCGCCCGCCTCGCGGTTGCAGGGAAGGCAGCCACTCCTGCTGCAGGTGCAGCGAAAATGCAAGCGTCTCCTCGTCGCTCGCCAGACTCTCCAGCAGCGTGACGAATTCTTCTTCGTTTTCACGAGGGTCGCTGGTGCGCGATATCCAGCACAACCTCGTCCAGGTCTGCAGTCGTTTTTCCAGGTCCTGTGATGTGCGACTAGGGGTTGAGTACTTGAAAATCGTGGTTTCAGGATTCAATAAAAATCATTAATTTAATTTCGGATCTGTACGAACTTTACAGGATCCTATAAAGTGCTTCACTTATTAGGAGAGACTTGATAACATTGACTGCGGCTGTCACATCTGAAATTGACAACGATAGCTATCAATTGGAGGCTTTGACTTTGATTGGCATAGATTCTAATAATTTAAATGCAATATCAAGGCCCCGCGCGATGAAGATGGAAAAAATTTAGGCAAGCAAGAGATAATCATTTAAGCAAATAAAACGCCCCTTGAAAAACGGTAAAGCATTAATTGAGTAGCCCTCAACACTTCAGCTTAAAACACTTAATTTCGATACCTTTACCCACGAGTGCAAGTTCATTTTCACATGATGTCATAGTTAAAGTGAAAACAATGAAAGATACAAAGACATCGTAAGAGCTACAATAGTCGATTAAAGAACTACCCACCTTTAATATGGTATAGGTACCTACCTATGCTGGCTCTATAAAATCATCAGTCAAAATAATCACAGAGGAATAAACAGGGTAGACAGATTACACGAGAAGTCAAAAATCATACCGTAATTCTATGAAGTTGAGGCAGCCAAATCTTATGTGTGGACCACGTGGCCTGAAGGGCGGTGAGGGAGCACTTGAAGACCTCCTGCCAGAGACGCTGTGCAGGAGACGTCGCCTCACACACCAGCAGGCGCGGTACAGGCACACTGCGCCCGTGGAAACTCTCGAACGCCACCTGCAGGCACTGCACAGCACGACCTCGGCGTCAGGGTACCAAACATGCACATTTCTAACGCTTAGACAAATTATATTCATTTGGACAATAACAAGATTAGCTTCAATTCAAGTTAGTTCAATTTTTCTTTTATAAATTAAACCTAACCAAACGGGAAAAACAGTAAAAGAAATCAGCGCCAATAAACCCCGTCAGTGCCCAATCACAAATCGTCACGAATCACAAATTTCAATACGACACAACCGTGATAGTCGCGATACAGACATCATTCTATTATAGAAACGCAAATTCACTCAGCAAATGAACTGATGAAAGTTATAGGGAAGATTATCAACAAACTGTGAAAAATAAAAATGAAGGGTATGCATCTCGGGTGTATTCGCCACAGCAAAGATTATTGAGCGCACTTCAGTACCATGAGGTGAAAAATTTCCGATGTAATCTAGGTACTTCATGGTTGTACCGAGTCACTCGACATGAATTAAAACAATGCTCGATTATCAAGGTCAACCTGCAATATACATTTCCATTAAAGAAAGTTTAACACGAGCTTACTAAAATATTCATTAGAGCAACCCACCATAAAAAAGTGTTTAAGAAGCGCTTCGCTGTAACAGGACGTGAGGAGCCACGCCACGGGACAGGCGTCGCCGCGCTCGCCCAGCGCCAGGACTGCGGTGACGCTCACGCAGGTCTCCTGCTGTGCCGGACTGCCGCTCATACGCACCTGACGTACCAAGTGAGAGTGAGACGGTGAGCTAGTGATCTAAGTGTATGCATTGTAATATCAGACACAGAATACTCTTATCATACAAGGGGAGATGATGTCAGGTCGAGACGTAAACACACGAGTCAGAAAAGGATGCACGAGTTGAATATACTTTATATATTTATTGGTTTAAATGCGTTAAGAATAGTGACATGCATATTCACTAAAATGTAAAATGACTGATATCAAAAATTATAGAACGCTCTGTAAATGAGTAGTGTCATAAAACAACATTGCTGACATTGCATAATGATACGAATATAGAACTAGAAAAAAATAAGCAATGAAGATGAACACATGAGCTAAGAGGAAGAAACAACTTCTATGTATACCGAATAGTGACACCAAACAACGTTTTATAATGGTACAAATATAGTACAAGGATAAAATATGCAACGAAGATAAACACATATGAAATTCTTAAATAAACCCACAGATTCTAACAAATGAAACAACTTCCAGGTATAGGGAAGATCATGACGCACCTGTGAGGTGTCCACACATATGGCGCGGTCGCCTCGGTCTGCCCAGAGCTCCAGCTGGTCGCTGGTGGTGAAGCCCAGAACGAAGTCTTCGGGCCGCACCAAGCCAAGTTCATCCCGCTCCTGCAGCCGCTTGCAGGTGCAAATACTCACCTGTACGCGAGGTAGAACTCTACATACAAACAGCGGATCAAGTAAAACAAATTAAATGCTCATTACTGCCTGACTGTTCCAACAAAAATAAAAAAATAATATTTAACACCCTAAACTAGGCCTCATGTCTGAGCAAGCAAAGTAAGTCCGCATAACACGCACAAGCTAGTCCTTTATTTCAATTAGTCGTGTATACAGGTTCAAATATCCATCTTCAACCCCCAATTGGCCTGAACGTGTAAGAAGACTTGGAGCGCAAGTTGGTTTAACACAAACTTGTTACTAAAAATTGTTGTGTTATTCTATGCCACAAGTGTCATTCGATGTAGTTAGTCTGCAGCATGCGTATGCATACGTTACGTTAATATATACTACTCTTCTTGTACAAGCGGCCACCATACTGGACACACTTAGTATAGAGTACATCATTTTCCCTAGTGTTTCAGGTGCATAGGTACCCACAGTATCATGCAAGGCAAAGACATGATGGAAACATCAGGCTACAACGCACATTATCCACCAAGTTCCAAGCAGCGAGGTCGGTCTGCAGGTCGTCCATCCCGCGGTCACCTATGAGAGCTCCTTCTATGATGCGTACTCCATCCTCCCTGTCCCCTCTCCTCTCTTCTTCTGCGCCTGTGTGTGCCGCACTCTCGTCCACCGCTCCTGCGTCAATCCCTTTTGTTTTTCTCTTGCCAACCGACGACTCCAGACCTAATTGCAAGCCTGTAACAACACAAATTCATTACTACACAAAAAAATTAGACAAAATTTGATGACAACAATATTGCGTCTAACACAAACACATAAATAAAAGAATATTCTATGAACTTTAATGTCAAGCAAAATTTAATTCCATCTTATATGTTAACCACAAACAGGCTGACGTGTCACAGAACTACTGCATACAGCAATCGAGTGTGTGTCACTGAAACAGTCAGCTCATTTCCTCATGAAATAAGATCGTACAAAATCGAATGAAACTTTCAGAGCAGAGCCAACAGAACCAGCGTTGTGGCACTAGATCGCTTGTGGAGCAACAGAGCGAAGTGAGTTCAAGTAGAACCTCACAGCAGGGCTGGCGGGACACGACTGACTAACCCAGCCCACAGCCTCTCAAAACTAACCCATCACGACGTCACGACCACTTAGGTAAGGTTGGACTCAACTGTTACTGAGGTGATTACTACTCCAGATGTCGTTGTATAGACATCTCAAGTATATATGAAAATAAATGCACATGAAATTAGTTGAATGAACGCAGTTAACAGTGAACGACTTCCACCTTTCACAATACGAATATGTGTCTAAAGAATTCTCTGTTGTTTGATTGTCTCCAGTTAATAAACCTGAAAGTCAACAAGCGTAATGAACAGTGATATTTACACGGCAAAATTTTCTCACACAATGCTTACGTGGGCAAGATTTAGATGAATAACGTTTAACCCGGCAATACCTATAGGCAGTATAGGCAAGGTTTACACAGTTTTTTTTATTTGGACTTGATTTTGTTTAATGAATGAATACGTGTTGAGTGGATGATCGGTTTAAAGGTCTGGCCACAGGTCAACACGTTCCCAGTGCCAATTTCAGACAACGTTAATGCAGAAAGATATACCCAGAGTAAGGCCATCTCTGTAGTGGCCGTAGTGAGCGAGACAACGTTAATGCAGAAAGATATACNTACACATCTAGATGTGTATAAGAGACAGGAGTAAGGCCATCTCTGCAGTGGCCGTAGTGAGCGAGGATGGCCGTGACCTCGACAGCCCCCCAGCCCCAGGCGCGCACGAGCAGCTGCGAGGGACACGCGCGCCCCACACGACGCAGACCAACGATCCTGCCGCCCCGACCTCGTCGTCTGCGCTGGTGCTTCTGCGCAGCATTACAATAACATGAATAAACTAAACTCATATACAAATATTTCTTAACCGAAGTTTGAATGCCTCTAAGATGTTGAAAAGACGTAACTTGGTAACGCGAGTTCAGTACAATATTTGTCATTTAATTAATATTCTATGCGTGACAGTTGCTTGAGAAAACATTAACATGTGGGACCAATTAAAATATTTTATTAAACATTTCAGGAAACAGAGTTTGTTTACATTCCCAGATGGAAAGAGGACTAATGCTATTGCAAAATTTAACAAACGTAGAAGGAATATCTGTGGAGGGAGCGAGAGGGAAACACAGGGACCACAGGGGGGAAGGACCACAGAAGAGGAGACCCCCATGACCACAGAGAGGGACCACACAGACCACAGCGGTAGAGGACTCACAGCTCGGGTCATGTCGTAGCGCCCCTCGTTGTTGCACACATAAACACGGGTTGTGCCGCCCGTCACTTCAGAGAAGCAAGAGAAGAAGCGATACCGAGTGCCATTTGCAGACTCCAGGTCCTGCTTCCAGCATAAAAATTCTGTGAAGAAAACATCAATTGGTAATGTGTTTTGTATATAGTGGCATGAATGTTAAGCAATAAATTAATGAAGACAAAATTCTTATCACAAATTTCTAATTAAAAAAAACAATTTCAAATTTTTTAGCAAACGATTAAGGAAGGTTTCCAACATTTTTTAATTCCTTAAAAGAGCAGCATGGAACGAATTTAATGAATTTATCATATTAATCTCAGGAAAACCAGGGCAAATCCCAAATATTCTTTTCTCTAGATCAAGGAAAAGCCCCCCTTCTTACCATCCATTGTCTTGAAGGTAAAATTCTTTGGGCTGAGATCAAGATTGTGATATACACAGAGATGTTGCTTCAGTTCATATATTGTAGAGGGCACCACCGTGCAGTCATCCTCCAGGCACTGCAGGGACACTTCCTGAGACTGCATCAGCATAAAAAATTAGAGAATAATATTATTTGAAGAAATGTACTGAAATGTTACTGATCATACATCCATTCCTTTCACAATATTACCTTCAAGCCCGGTAGTGGTGTGCAAGAGTATCTGGTTTCTCAATTTTTATTGTCTATTTACTTAGAGAATAACTGCATAATTCTTCAATGTTTAGGATGACTGGAAATTATTGCACTTGAGACACCAAACCATTGAAATCTCAGAAAGAATAAGTGATCAAAATTTCATATAATTAAACAAATATTTGCGACTAATATCATTTGGTAATTCTTAAAAGTTGAGGCAACTAGCTCGTATTATTTGCCAACGCGGCAAAATTTCTCCATGGAAGACACAAAAATGCCACTCACATGATACAAAATCTTATTGAAATTGGGCAGACTAATTTAATTTTTCATTAAGTATAGGCCAAGAAAAATTATGTATTAAAAACTATAGCCAATGACAGTTTTATTTACATGATATGACTAAAAAGCTGGTATGATTGGTCCAAAGAAGTTGTACTTGAAACTACCAACAAAACCAGAAACTAATTAGGTGTTTTGTATTTATATATTATTTAGAAACAACGTGAAATGTACAAGCGGCAATCATCGATAACATCTAATAATTTATACTACAAAAGCCCTACCGTAACCAGTCTAATCGCAAAGAACAACGCAGCCCCAAGACCACCAGCCCTGAAACAAATGTCACATACAAATACACGTGCAACTGTGGGGAGTGCGAAACCCGCAACCGTTCGTATATTGTCATGACTCAACCCTATCAAGACGGCTCACAATGCATTTAGTTTCTGGAGGACCGAAAACGCACGCTATGGAAAACCACAATATACCAAATTAACCTGGGAAGAACTGGTACAAAATACAAAAATCCTCTGTCACAAACCAGACTTTAACAGACTACAAACAATGGAAGCAATTCTAATTCGATGAAAAAAGCTACCGGGTACACCTAAAGAACCAAACGACCGAATCTCAGTGAACTCTGAAACTTCAGAATGACTTTACACTGGACTGTACCAGAACCTTACTCGTAGCTTCGTTCACTACTTAAATTAGTCTTCATTCTGCAGCCAACATGTAAGCACCTCGTCTACTCAGCTGCTTGACTTTATTACCTGAAGATGCTCAGCGATGAGCAAAACGCGTCGCCGGATTTACTTAACCTTCCATTTGGACAAATTTTCAGACTTGTTGAAAACATTATTGTACCTTTCATTAGAAAGCTTGAGAAATTAAACTCAAAAGAAGTTCTTAATAAATCTGGCATCATTTTTATCGAGAACTTCTTTTGAGTTTAATCTCTCAAGCTTTCTGATAAGAGGTACAGTAAAAAAGATCAATAAGTCTTAAAATTTGGCATGACCACATTGGAAAACAAGAATCCAATCCCCACATCAAACCATCTATCTACTGCCGATACGTCGAAGATTGCTTCATAGTTACTGACTCCGCTGCATCCGTCCTAATACTCAAGAACCTTTTAGAAATCAACTCTGTATTGAAGTTTACTCACGAAATCGGAACGGACAATAAAATAAATCTCCTGGATGTCAACATCGAAGCCACTGATAACTTCATAACTTCAGTATACCAGAAGCCCGGAAAAACTGTATATTCCAACAACGGAATATACCTCAACGCGCGCAGTGAATGCCCCCAACGATATAAAGACAGCACCATCAAGGCATTAATCCACCGCACCTATAAAATATCACATACTTGGCAGTTATTTCATGACAGCATCTTGAAACTAAAGCAAGCCTTAATCAACAACGGTTACTCTAATTCACTCTTTGACAATATTCTGAACCACTACCTCGCAACAATCAGCCAAAAAACAGGAAACCCAACGAGCGATGCAAGAAACCCTGAACATCAAGTCCATAATGACTACTATCAGAATCAATATTCATCTGCATACAAAACGGACGAACGAATCCTCAAGCAGATGATTCGAAACAACGTGGAATGCACAAACGACAACCACCGATTACAGCTGATAACCTACTACAAAAGCACTACCGTAACCAGTTTAATCACAAAGAACAACACAGCCCCAAAACCACCAGCCATGAAACAAACAAATGTCATATACGAATACACGTGTAACCACAGGGAGTGCGAGCCCCGCAACAATTCGTATATTGGCATGACTACTACAAACCCTATCAAGATGGTTCACAATGCATTTAGTTTCTGGAGGACCAAAAATGCACGCTTTGGACAACCACAACACCAAATTAACCCAGGAAGAACTCGTACAAAATACAAAAACAAAAATCCTTCGTCACGAATCAGACTTCAACAGACTACAAATAATGGAAGCAATTCTAATTCAACAGAAAAAGCCATACCTAAACAATCAAACGACTGGATCCCAACGCACTCTGAAACTTCATAACTAGAACGAGTGTACAACGGACTGTATAAGAACCTTACTCGTAGCTTCATTCACTACTTAAAGAAGTCTTCTCTCTGCAGCCAACATGTGAGCACCTTGTCTACTCTGCTGCTTGACCTTATTTCCTGAAGATGCTCAGTGATGAGCGAAACTTGCTATCGGATTTACTTAACCTTCCATTAGGAGAAATTTTAAGACTTGTTGACCCCATTATTGTACCGGTACGGTACCTTTTATCAGGAAGCTTGAGAAATTAAATATATATATATATATACTAAGGATACTAAGGATACTAAGGATACGACAAAGCTGAGGAAGACCCAAGTTGTGTCATTGAATTAGTTTTGTAGATGATTCGTAACTATTGTGAAGATTATTAAATTCAGTGATAGCATATCAAAATGTTGGCCCTTTAAAAACAAATCACCAAAACTTGACCATAAAACCATATAAGTAATTGTTCAGCTAATGTAGCTATGAAGCAAATGATGGAAGAGGAACATATTCTTCCCAAATACAGGTATATTGTTTTTAAAAATTTTCTTAGCCTGTAATGTACTTTCACACAGCTTTCTACATTTCCAACTTTTTTGTACAAAGTTCAACGGAAGTTTCAATGTTTATTTACAAATTACACCAAAAATGTGATAAACAAACCTACGATTTATCTGACAGATAAATGTTTTAAGTACTACAAAAGGTATGTATAATTAATAGTAAGATATACTTATTGTAGGAGATGGGTGGTAGGTATGATATGCAGTAGGTATTAGGTAAAAACAGTACCAAGATAAACCCAAATACTCACAGCCTTCTCAAACTTGTGCTGAGCTTCGATGTGAAGGTTACACTCTAGGATCGTGCTAAGCTGCGCCCCGCAGAAGCTGCATGCCACAGACCCCTGCAAATCATCAAATTTCTATACAGATCATTTTACCCATGCTTGATTTAGTCAAGCAGGTATAAATCACTTCTATAAAAAAGGCAATAAATCGATCTAAAATTTTAAATAAATAATAATTTTTTACCAAGGATTTATCTATCAAGGTAATTTTTTTTAAATACCATACATCAACCAGATTTTAAAAATATTATTATTTTTATAATTATTATTTTGAAAATATTATCAAATAAAGGTAAGAGAGAATAACTCACCTTATCTGGGAACATATCAACATTCAAGTCATCACTGAGATTGGCATTCAATGGTTTAGCTCTCTTTAGCCAATGTTGCCCTGTTTGCTGTATGTGTAAAAGAAGAACAAATGTATTTTCAATTAATCAACACAAGAAATTCAGGCACAATGTCCACAATGATAAAAAAATGAAAACTCCAAGATGAAAATAATAAACATAAATACTAAATAATTCAGTTTTCAAGTAAGTACTGGTATATCAAGAAGCTAATTGTTATTTTCATGTGCATTTGTCATTACCTAGTACCTTATTCGATTGGAATAAGGTAACTACCGTAAACTGGGGTAACTTTGACCACTTTTTTTTCAAAATGATGCCATTTTTTTACTAGATAAGTTAAATGTTAATTGAAACATGCAAAATACAGGTCTATACTCTAGCTTTACTTACCATAAATTGCTGGCTCCTGCCTATCATAGTTTTGATGTAATTTAAAAAAAAGTGATGGTCTTTGTTACCCCAGCTCTTGGGGTTTCTTTGACCGGGTGGTAAAATCAATTTTATTTTTTGGTAAAATAACTCCAAATAACTCCATGCATTGTAGTAGAACTCTTCTAGTTACATATGCAAAAGAAAAATTTTAGGAAAGTGTCATAGTTTGCAAATGGGGGGCGCTGCCCCCAAATGGGCAAAATGTGACCATCTAATGGTAGCCGGAACGGGGTAACATAGACCGGTTTGGAAATTAAGTTGAAATTACCATATATAAGACTCTGTAGAGTCTGAACCATGAAGAAAAAAACATTAATAGGAGTATCAAACATAAAATATGTTCTATAGGTACCTATGGTAATTTTAACTTAATTTCCAAGCCGGTCAATGTTACCCCGTCACGGCTGCCATTAGGTGGTCAAAGTTACCCCATTGGGGGGCGGCACCCCCCATTTGCAAACTATGACACTTTTCTAAAATTTGTCTTTTGCATGTGTAACTAGAAGAGTTCTACTATAATGCATCAAAACCTGGAGTTATTTTGCCAAAAAAATAAAAAAATTGGAGGGGGTACTCCGACAGGCTTTAAATAATAGCTCTTTTTCGTGGGTCACATTTTTAATATTTTAACCTATTAGATATGCAAACTTTTTAAATCTTTCTATTGTGTTACATAGCCTCAGTATTAGGCCTTTGATGGACATTGACAAAATTTTTCTATGTCGAATCGTTTTTGAGTTCTGGGGGTTTTTGTTAAAAAAACGAAAAGTGGTCAAAGTTACCCCGCCGGTCAAAGTTACCCCATTTTACGGTACTAGCATGGTAATCTTAGGAATAATTAAACATTTACTCATTAATTTCCAGCATGACAAGATTGAGAAGAGGATATTTGAGACTCTGAGACTCTCCACCCACTAAGTTGGATCCAGAGGCCACTTTAGAGGCAGCCTGGAAGGGTCCAGGTCTCTTGAGTTTGTTTTCACCAGGCGCATCGGACACAACCTCCCGCAGCATCCTTAGAGGCGGCCTGGCCTCTCGTGCCCGTCTTTTTGCCCAGCGTGAGTCTTCTGTGGTGAGGCGCTTTGTGCGCACAACATGACTGCTCTGTAGAGCAAAGATAACCAACAAGTTAGCAATGTGAGGAATTACTTGCCACACAAGATTCTCAATATTTTGGTCTTTGAGCAGTTTCTTATTGCAAATAAAAAAACAAATTTATTGATTGTGATGATATTGGTAACTACACAATTTACCCACATAATTTAGCAAAATTATTTCTGAATACTTTTCTGTAAAATGAAAATACCAAATATACTACGGTACCTACTATTAGTAATGGAGTAATCATCCCACCCAAATGCACAGTGAAGGTAGCTACTCTGCACATTATAACTGAAATATGATTTGGTCTACCATAAAAAAGGCACTGAAGTCACTGAAAATTATTCATATTTCATATAATACAAGTGAGCATTAAAAGCACATTATGGAGAATGGCAAATAAGTCACCATATAATAGCCATGGTTAAAATGCTCTGATAGTTCATTTGATCATGTAATGGTGGTCTTCCACAACTCAACAGAGCTAAATATGACAAAAAACTTATGTGAACATGTAACTATAAACTAGACTAAAAAGTAAAACAAAACATTTCCTACATGCTAATTGAAGCATGTTTTGAAAATCTGTTGAATTTCTGTTAGTGTAGGTATCTTTGGCTTTAATAATTAAACCAACAAACTTATTCTACTGAAAAGCAATATGACAAATAATCAAATTGATTGTAGTCTAGCATATCTAATAATGTCATTGATGGATAAACTAACCTCAAGCCTAGTGCAGAGAGGTTTTCTCACAACACAAACACTTGAATTTTTTGTGTATCTATCAGGACCCTCCCACAGTCCAGTGAAGCTATGCACAGTGTCATCCATTTCTTCATCATCTTCATCATCTTCTTCACTACCATCACCCTCATCATCATAATCAACTTTGACATGTAATGTGTTTTGATCCTGCTGGCCAGTCTCAAAACTGTTCAGTTCTATGGTGATCTGATCAGGGGAAGAGCATTGCTCCTCCTCCAATTTCACTGTGTTAAGCTCAATTTCCATTAGGCTTTATACCAGCAAGAACATAAAATTATCATCATTCCAAATCTCTGAAAAGCAAAGGAATTAGTGACAAATTTTGCTAATTTTACTTACAATTTTTGAACTACACAAATAATTTAAACATTTATGATTTTTGAGGCTATTGAATATTGATTGAGCTTAAATTAATTTTCAAGTCATTATATTTTATGCCATTGAAGGAGACATAATATTATCAGACATTATGTTATGTGTATTTTTTCAAATTATTAACCCTTTCACAAGCAAGCATTGAAATTTCCAGAAATTAACATTTCAAAAACCAGTTCAATAAAGTAAGAAGTATTATGTATATGTAATATTTATTTGTATATATTTTTGAAAAAATTTGTATGTTGGAGGCTTAAATTGCATCTGAAGATTTATTAAATGTGGTTACTACATGAAATACTTTCTTCATAATTAAAGTTTAGTTTAGGTACATTGACATTGCAAATGAAAAAATCAAGATCATAAAAATTTAATCCAATTTAATCAAGTACTGTAATCTTAAATAATTAAATATATATTGATACTTCCACCTTTTAAAAAAAGATATCTTGCCCTGTTGCAGGTGTTGCCCATGACCATGAAAGGATTAAACACTGCCTTTTAATTTTTCAAACCTAAATTTTAGGATCGGAAGTTCAGAACACTGGTTTATATGAATCAAAACTTGAAAGTAATATATGAACTGAAATTTTTTGAATTCTATCCTGGCTGGATGTCAGATATTTACATTCTGCTGAAGCAGCTGACACTTGAAAGGGCTGAATTAACATGCAGACCAGACTGCAGCAGACAGAGACATGCAGTCAAGGTTTCTTTGCTTTCACAGGGCGGCCAAAAGCAGGGAAAGGAGAAGAAAAGTCATTGGTTCCTTTGAGGCCAGCCATTATTGAGCTGAGGTCTTCAAAGCTTGTTGGACAGCCACATGACTGACATGGCTGCCTTTGCTTCTTAGGGCTTATAAACACAAACACTGAGAGTTACTAGGAACTAATCACAATAGTTGATTGATAATCGAATTTAATGTTCAAAACATGCACAAAAACACTTTTGACAGATTTTTTATTTGGTCTTGGAGCAATAGTAAGATAGCACTTCTCACCAACACCATGAACGTTCAAGGTAAACTTGACAATACCCTTTTTGAAAACCTGAAGAAATTTATTTTACGACTGATTTGATGCCAGTTTGAAGGTGAAGAAGAAGTCATGCGCCAACCACTTGCCACACTCAGGATGATGTATGTTTTCGGGAAATTTTGCCATGCATTATGACTTTTTTTAAGCCATTGCGGCGCACAGTTGGTGCAACTTCTAGCCATCTTTGCTCGCAAGTGCAAGATAAATTTTGGCCATCAAATTTATCTGCGCAGTGCACAGATAAATTTTGTCAAGGGACAAGAGACAGAAAACTTATAATACTCAATATGCATTCAATTATCTATCAATAATCTAGGAATTTATATTAGAAGAAATTTTCTACAAATTTCTTATTGGAACATTGTTTGTTTACCTTCCGTAGACCATCCAGGGGTGAGGCAATATTACCATCCGGACATGAGGCAAGTGGTGAAGAACCAAGTACTCAGAAATTGGGCATATGAAGTTAACAAATATTAGTGTTAAATGGCAGATTTTGCTTGTTCTATATATACTATTAGTGCGCTGATAGGGGGTTATTAAAGGTTCTACGATTAATGAAAGGAGTAAGTAATAATTTTATCATTCTAATTAATGGAAAATAATTTTGAGTGCAAAATCTTTTGTAAATAAAATGTGTCTACACATAACAGTCATCAGAAATTCTCAATGTAATGGTATGGCAACATTGTCTTTACAGACTTTTACGCAATGCTGATACATCGTCATGTGTCATGTGATGCGTCTCTTGAAGCTATTCATATTTTATTAATGTTTGTTGTTCATATATATAATTAACCTTCAAAGTTGCAAAAAATGAGAACTGATAATTAAAAAAATTTTGCAGTGCCTGTATTTTTGTATTCAATGTCAATGGGTTTGCACTGCACAAACCCATTCCATTAGCATGGAGGATGTCAGGAACGTATTCTCAACATTGACGATGATTGGCATACAGATTTGTAGTTGTACTATTTGCCAAAATCAGTCCTTCATTACTCTAAGTTCATTAGAAGGCACCAATCTCAAGCCATGGGCATGTGGATTGTCACCTACTATTCAATTTGTAATTCATTTCCAAACGAATTGTGATCTATGAATAATGAATAAATATTCATAACTGTGCCGACTCTTAGGTGGAACCTGAGTTAACATGTTGGAAATCTCAAATCTAGTCAACTTGATGCCTATATTTGTTTGAGTGTGATACTGTCTCCATGCATTCATCTTTAAACAACTTTAGGAGCACGGCACACCACGCAATTATTTTACCAGTATATTATGGCCGCTACAGCGCACAGCACGGTGCACATTTTCCGCATGTGCCCGCGCACCTGGCACATTTTCCTGACCATGGACCACTTGTAACACCTGGACTCAGCAATGTTTATATACATCTTGTCTTCATCTTCTCATTTTAGTTTCTTTCTTCTCTCCGCTGGTGCAGTAACGGCGCTGCATTTGAAACAATGCAGCGGTAGTGCCTGCTACATACCTATTCAAGTAGCAGTAGGGTAAATGCGGTATATTCCAACATCGTGGGTAATTCCAACACTTCTCGACTTTTTTCCATTATATTAAGATTTTTCTAAGTTCCACACATTAGTTGATGGTTGAAATAGTGACGTCATACTATTGCACTATTGCCAAAACACCCAGTCTGGGCTGTCTGGCAGGAAAATGTTAAGATCCAAAGAGAGACAGTGCGCAGCACCCAGTGAGAACATCAAAAAATGTGTCCAAGTTGATAGTTCTCTTGGTTGTATTGTAGTTCTAAGTTGTGTGTTTATCACCAAATAGTGATAAACTGTGTAGAAAGAATATTATGGTTTGAGACTTATAAATAAGTCTGTGAATATGTTAGGAAACCTTTAAGTATACTTGTATTTTCTGATTTCAAGTGGTAAAAAAATCAATAGACGATTAAGTTAAGAGACGGTTTTAGACACATAAAAACTAATTCCGACACAGCTTGGAATTAGACACACACAGCTCGTTCCAAGCTGTGTGCAAAAATTAAAATTTTCTTAATTAAAAGCTTAATAGCTCTTAATTAAAAGCCTAAATAAGTAGTGTTCAATATTCAATAGTGTTCTAATTCCAAGCTGTGTCGTATTCCAATACAGCTCACACAGCGATTGGAATTTGAACACAAGAGTGTTGGAATTATGAATTAGTAGAGTTTGAAGCGCAGCCCGAATTAGTCTCATAAAATGCCAAATTTAGTCTTACACAGTGTCAGAATATATGGATTTGGTAGTTTTGCATTCTAAAGGCTTTTAAATAAATATGGCAATATTTTGTGACGTTTCATTGTTGCTGGCGCATAGTGCAGTGTTTTGAGAGTGACGTAAAGCAAACAGAACTTGAGTTGCGCGTACGGCAATTTTTTATAGCCATTCATTTTTTGCTACATCCTTAAAGTATTGGAATATACCACGTTTACCCTACAACAGTGTGGAATTCTGTATAGGTAATATATTCTCATGTTAATAAAAGAAAACTCATTGAAAAACCAACCCTACCACCACATTACACCACCTTCCACTCAGGGTTGGCAATGATTAAATCAAAATGATTAAATCATGTGATTAAATCACTTGATTTTTTTATAAAAAAATCATGATTTTTTTTTTATTTTTTCATATATTTAAATATATTGAGTGGCAGTCTTTAATTTATATTGAGGTATTGTTATTCATGGTTTAGTATAAATGTACTATGAATGACAAATTGGTATATAAACTTGTTGCCTTTGTGTGCAATACATTGCACGTAGCTAGCAGCTTAGCTAATTCTTATAAGGCTATAAGTAGTCTTCAACTATTTGACTATTTGTTATATATTGATTACAATATACAATTTAAATGTGTTAGCTAGCTTATACAGAGTGGGGCAGAACTGATTGAATAGTTTTGAGGCAAAATAACAGAGTAATGGAGGTACATAAAGAAGAAAGTTTATTTTCCTCAAGATAAGCTTAACATACCATTTAAAATACTTATGTTTTGAAAACAATATCAGGAAGATGGGGTTTGTTAGCTGCATCGCACTGATGGAGTCGTTCTCGGAAGTTTTCTACAGCACGTTCACACATATGGCGAGGTATGGCCATAACCTCTGCTGCAATAATCCATTCCCATAGCTGTGGTAGGGTGTGAGGGAAACTTCTGAACCCCTTTCTTTTAGATGTCCCAAAAGAAAGAAATTGCAAATGCTCAAATCAGTTAACCTCGCAGGCCACTGTAAATCACCCCTCAGAGTCTGGGAACATGCGTTTCAAAACATGGAGTGACATTCGGGCTGTGTGAGCTGTAGCCCTATCCTGCTGGAACCACATGTCTCCCAATGTTTCATTTTCAACAATGTTTTCCATCCTGGGCTGCAAGAAATTTTGCAACATTGCAGCATAGCGATTCGGAATTCACTGTTACGGTTACTCCCTCCTCTGAGAACGACTCCAACAGTGTGTTGCAGCTAATGGCCCCCATCTTCCAGATATTGTTTTCAAAACATAAGTATCCTAAATGGTATGTTATACTAACCTCTAGGAAAATAAACTTTCTTCTTCATGTACCTCCATTACTCTTTTATTTTACCTCAAAACAGCTCAATCGGTTCTCCCCCACCCTGTATATTGAGAGGTTGAGATTGTATTGACCTTTTAGGCAATTAGAAAGATTTTCCACCCTAATACCAGTATTCTAATTAAAATATTTATTTTCAATCTTTAAATATGTGAATTTAAAACTAGAAACAAAACAATTACAATTATAAGACTATATATAAAATAATTAAATGCAGTGAATGGGTATAAAATATTTGAATTGTGCACATGTTTATTTCAAACAGTATTAGATTTTCTCATAACTTAAGTCTCGTTTCAAGTCGTATGAGGTTTGT